TTTTTCTCTCCAAACGAGCGCTCTGTTCGTCTCCTTGTGTTCCTATTTATGCTGCTAGCTAGTTCAGCTACAAATGTCGGATTATATTCCTAGGTTCGATCTCAACTTGTTGGCATCCCAAGATGATGACGCCAACGACGTTTTAAATCTCGACGAGCCGAAGATCACCACGGAGGTAATGCATCACTTAGTTGTATCCTTCCGTTGTTCAGATTATTTTGGTTCTCATCATTTGTTTCATTTTTTACGGTACTTGATTTGAACTTACCAAGAGATGAGTTCGGTGTGTTGATTTCGACTACATATAAAATCAAGTGGTAACTTCTTTTCGTCACAATGTTTGTTTTTCTTCCTATAATTACAATATGCCGTGAATGCATTACCATAGCAACGCAAGCAGTTCATGAATGTGTTTTTTTATCTTAAAAATACAACATGCCGTGAATAAATATTGGACCATGCATGCCGTGTGAATAAGTACTGGACCATGCATGCCGTGAATGTAGGCAAACATGACATGTCCTTGGTTGTTTTCTTTTAACAGACCATGATGTGGACAATCCAACCGTGGAAGAACAAGTTCAACCACACACCCGAAGGAAAGAAATGAGTGAAGAGGTCCGAAAACAAGTTTACCAAGCTTTGTTGGCTAGAAGCAACAATGGTACACTACACAAGGAAGACACCGCGTTTGTTGCTGCTCAATTTGACATCCATAGACGGACAGCTCAACGTGTTTGGAACCGAGGTAAAACACAACTTTGTAGCAATGTATCGGTTGTGGTTTCTAGTCTAAAGAAGGGTAGAGTTGGACGTAAAGCAATACCTTTTTATTTGGAAGCATTGCGAAACATTCCTCTTAAGGAAAGAATGACTATAGAGGATGTGTGTGCCAAACTAAACATGAGCAAATGGAGGGTTCAAAATTATTTGAAAAAAGGATTGATTAGGCGCCACTCTAGTAGCATCAAACCATATCTCACTGAAGCTAACAAGAAGTCTAGGTTACAATGGTGTGTTGACATGGTTAATAGAGAGTTGCTTGATGATCCAATGTTTAAGGAGTTGTATGACTTTGTGTTCATTGATGAGAAATGGTTCTACCTACATCAAACATCTGAAACATATTATTTGCTACCTGAAGAAGATGATCCCCATCGGACTTGTAAGAATAAGAACTACATCCCTAGCCTCATGTTCTTGTGTGTTTGTGCTCGGCCAAGGTTTAGGGATGGGAATTGTATTTTTGATGGTAGGATTGGTTGTTTTCCACTTGTTCAATATGAACCGGCTCAAAGAGGTAATGAGAGGACCGGCCGTGTCCGTGGAGACTTGGTTATGAAGCCCATAACTTCGATCACTAGAGAAGTGATTAGAGGTTTTATGATCAACCAAGTGTTGCCCGCCATTAGAGCTAAGTGGCCAAGAGAAGATGTGGATAGACCAATATTCATTCAACAAGACAATGCACCTTCCCACTTGAAATTGGATGACCCGAATTTTGTGAGGGCACTAAGCTAGGAGGATTTGATATTAAGCTTAATATGTCGACCACCAAACTCTCCAGATTTCAACATTCTTGACTTGGGTTTTTTCGAGCTATACAAGCAATTCAATATCAAAAGAATGCAAAGACAATGGAGGCTCTCATTCCGGTAGTGCAAGAGGTAATTTGCTCAACAATTGTTCACAACCGAATTAAACTTGCATTACAATTTATCCCACAACAATTTGCTAACCGAATTAAACTTGCATTACAATTGTAGGCATTCATGGAGTACTCACCACACCTTGCAAACCGAATGTTTCTAACACTACAAGGTGTTTTGATGGAAGCTATGAAGAAGAAAGGTTGCAACAACTTCAAGATACCTCACATGAAAAAAGGAGCATTGGAAAGACAAGGTCTGCTGCCATCTTGTATTCATTGTGATCCATCTTTCCTAGTTGAAGCCGAGGATAGTCTTTGCCGCATGAAAGAAGTAGATTGATGGTTACTCTTTGTTGTAATGATCTTAATGAACTGCTGTTTGTAATGAACTCAATTTTAATGATCTTATACCATGGGCTTTGGCGTCCTCCATAGCCTTCTTGGCGGCGAGCTTACGCTGCGCCTCTCCTTAGCCTCCTCTTCGACCTTCTTGAGCACGCTGCAGCAAAGACAATTTGCTCCATGCCGACTCCGAACACGACATTCTTGACATCTGGAATGAAAAACTCGCACTCGAAATAATCGAAGCCATGAACAATAGCGAAGAACAAGTAGTCTGCGTGCTTGAGACCGCAGCGAGAGCATGGATAGCGCCCAGTGTGCACACGATCCCATGCTTCGCGGTTAAGATGAACGACTTGACAGGTGCCGCAAATAAAAGCGCCCGGCGGCGAAGAATCCGGCACCACGATCTCCTCCGACTCCGGCGAGACGATCTCCTCCGACTCTGGAACGATCTCCTCCGAGTCCGCGGCCATGGAGTCCGCAACCTCCTCCATCATCTCCGAGTCCGCGGCCACGGAGTCCGGGGCGAACTGATCCGGCGTCGAGTCCGCCGCATCCATGGAACTGCTAGGGCGAGGGCGAGCCGTGTGCGGCGTGGAGCGAGGGCGAGCTGGTGTCTTGGCGTGGAGAAGAAGAGCTAGCGGCGAGGGGCGAGCTGCGAGGAGCGACTGTGAGCTGGAATCGCATGGCATGCGGCGGCGGCGTCTTGTGATTAATAGCAAGACATGCAGGAGGCGAAGCAATAAGCGCTGAGTCAAGGTTCCTGGAATCGCGGCATGCAGCGGCGCATGCGCTATTAACGTGGACACGGGAGCCAAAGCAGAGGGGTACCGGCGTCCACTTTTCTCCCTCGAAGCCAAAACGACTTCTTTTGCTTGATTTCAAACTGAGCCCAGAACGACCTCCTTTAGCAGTATGGAGGGAGTATATTAATATTTATGGTACAAAACTAATATCATTAGATAGATCATTGAATTTATTTACATAATAAATTTATTTAGAGATATAAATGTTGCACGTGCACGTATTTTCTACGAATTTAGTTAAACTTACGGTACGAAAACCAAAAGCGACAATTTCTTAGGGACGGAGGTTCTCGAGAGTAAAAACAGAGTAGAGAAAAACCGGCAAATTCGTTTCTTTTCTTAGGGATATACGCGGGAGCTTTGCTCATCAGATTTTCTTTTTGGCGCGGACTATATTATACTATAGTAGAAAAATAAACGTTTGGTTTCTTATTGGGAAGTTAGGAACCCAACAGTAAGACAAATATATTGAGACGACTGTATTACGTACATACAGTACTGAAAGGATCAAGATACTCTAGAGGAGGTGAATTGGACTAATTCTAAATTTCTTTGCAATAATTAAATCATACGGTTAGCCCAATTAACCCCTTTACGTAGAAAGTGTTTCTAATTGTTCTACCGCACAAAAGACTTGCAACCTAAGTTCCAATCCTACTCTAGTATGATAATTCTAAGAATGTAGATGACAAGAATTGAATTGCTCAAAGTAAATGCTCAAAGTAAAGAGAGGAGGAAGAACGCGACGATGTTTTGTCGAGGTATCGGAGAGTCGCTACTCTCCACTAGTCCTCGTTGGAGCACCCGCGCAAGGGTGTAGCTCCCCTTGATCCGCGCAAGGATCAAGTGCTCTCTATGGGTTGATTCTTTGACACTCCGTCGCGGCGAATCACCCACAACCGCTCACAATTTGAGTTGGGTCATCCACAAGCTCTCCGGATGATCACCAAGCTCCCAATCACCACCAAGTCGTCTAGGTGATGACGATCACCAAGAGTAATAAGCACGAATTCTCACTTGACCACGACAAGCCTAATGAGAAGGGTGGATGCACACTTTGCTACTTTTGATCTCACTAATGAGGGCTCTCTTTAGAATTCTCAAATTTAAATCACCTCACTAGGACCTTGCTCTTCTTGACACTCTCAAACGTGTTTCTCAGCTGTTGGAATGAGCAAAAGTACCCCCACACATGAGTGGAGGTGGTATTTATAACATGGGCTGAAAAACGAACCGTTATGTGCCTCTGCGGGGTGACCGGACGCTCCGGTCATGTTGACCGGACGCTCCAGTCAGTCTCCCCGAACTCCAGTGTTTCAAGTGTGACCGGACGCGTCCGGTCGTGATTTTCCCTCTCTGGAACCTTACTGGAGTCGATCGGACGCTGGCTCTCAGCGTCCGGTCACTTCACCTCTCAGCGTCCGGTTGCGCCAGACGATTTCACCTTAGTCAAATGAACTGACCGGACTCTGCGCCAGCGTCCGGTCAACCCGGAACCAGCGTCCGGTCAGTATTTGACCCTCCATTCACTTCCAACTCTCGATCATATGTGAATGAAGATTGCTCCATTGGATCTAACGACTATTTTGGAGCTACCTAGTGCTAATTTCAATAAGTGTGCACCACACCTAACTCACTAGACTCATCTAGATTAAGCTACCCGTCCATACCCCCTTAATAGTACGGCCAAAGGAAAAACAAAGTCATAAACTACTCTAAGTATCTCTTCAACTCCAAACGACACTTAGAACTAATCCATCCTTAACCTTGTCGTCCATCCTTTGAAAACCGAAACGATTTTCATCATAGAGGCATGACCACCATGATTGCCCAATCGATCTCTATTACCATGACCTAACTTAATTGCCTCTGCAAAACATACGTTAATCACAATAATCACGTATTATTATTAATCGTCTAAACCCAACTAGAGGTCTATCACATGACAAAAGACCAGCGGGGAAAAGCTACTCTTACAATTTGAGCGCACCAAGAATAGAAGCCCTCGTGCAGTTGCCGCCATCTTTCTCCACCACCCAAAAAGGTTCCGACACGCCTAAACATCCCCCCCCAGCGCAGCGCAGCCCACCTATCAATAGCCGACGAGGCGCGAGGACCGACGACCACCGGCTGCTCGCCGTCTCTTTCCCTCGGGGCACGCGCGCAGGAGACAGGCCCGGCCAGGCCAGCAGCCAGCCATGGGCAAGCACGGCAAGTGCAGCCACGACACGGAGGCGTGCTACCCGCCGGGGGCGGACGGCGGCATGTACCCGTACATGATGGAGAGCCCGCAGCTGCGGTGGGCCTTCATCCGCAAGGTGTACGCGATCGTCTGCCTGCAGCTGCTGCTGACGGTGGCCGTCGCCGCCACGGTCAACCTCGTGGGCGCCATCGGCGACTTCTTCCGATCCCGCACCATGGGCGCCATCGCCGCCACCATCGCCGTCATCATCTTCCCCATCCTCGGTACGTCCGTCCGTGCTTCTTTCTCGACTTCTCGTACGCGTATGCACATATACATGTTCATTCACATGGATCATCGGTCGACGTCGTTGCTCGGTGTGCATTTTAAAAAAAAAATGCAGTGATGATTCCGATGATCATTTACCGGAAGCGGCACCCGGTGAACCTCGTGCTCCTGGCGCTCTTCACCGTCGGCATCAGCTTCGCCGTGGGGCTCAGCTGCCTGTCGGCGAAGGGGCCCGTCATACTGGAGGCGGTGGTGATCACCATGGTGGTGGTGTTGGGGCTCACCGCCTACACCTTCTGGGCGGCCAAGCAAGGCTACGACTTCGAGTTCCTGGGGCCATTCTTGATGGCCGCCGTCCTCATCCTCATGCTCTTCGGCCTCGTGCGGATCCTCTTCCCCCTGGGAAAGACGGGGACCATGGTGTACGGGTGCATCGCCGCGCTTGTCTTCTCAGGCTTCATCATCTACGACACCGACAACCTCATCAAGCGCTACTCCTACGACGAGTACGTCGCCGCCGCCATCGAGCTCTACCTCGACGTCATCAACCTCTTCCAGGCCATCCTCGCTGTGATCGAAGGCGTCGACTGATGAATGTGAGCATATATACATAGGATCACATGTAATCTAAGCCTACGGCTACCTGGATGGGTTGCAAACTTGCAGGCCAATCTGTAATCCATAGATAGGGTCGAACGGCACTGCCGTGATTGAACATTACTGCTACCAACGAAGTATTGCCAATCCAATTCATTATATCACAAACGGCAGCGAAGGGATCACGCCGGCAAGGCAGCTGTGCGTATGGCAATTGCCGCAACAATGCATTCATCGGCCTCAGAAATGTTCAACACAAACCAAACTTCCCAGGAACGAACTAAGCTTTGCTGGCTAAGTTTGCAATACCATCAATGCATGGAGTAATTTTGGTTCATTCATGAAATGGATTCGGATGGTCTGACTGTCACACCCAAGCCATAAATTGCAGGATTACAAGCTGCCAAGAGGCAGTACCTTCGGCATCACCAGACTTGCACTCTTTGAACTCCTCGTTGTATAAAAATAGGGGGGGAAATGTTGCCAGGGTCAACTACAAATTGCTCAATTCAACATCTAACTGTTTCTAGTATGCCATACACCCACTGGAATAAGCTCAACCTTTAAATGGTCTCAGTGCTCTTCTATCTTCTTCAAATCCTTCATATTCGTCGTGTCCACACTGCAAAATAAACCAAGCAATTTAACTTTAGGAAAATGGACCGCGTCAATTACATATGCTGGTATGCATATGTGAAGAAATTAAGGAGAGTTCTACTACGTTCTCAAAGCCTGACAATGGATCCCCCTTCCCTTAAGCCCATTCCTATCTGATTTGGTATATTGATTTCCTTCACCTTTCAATTTTGGCTAAATAAAATAGCCAGTAACTAAATCTAGCAGAACTCCAGCTACTTTTTCTGTACAGGTAGTAAAAGTAACCTGCTTGTACAAATGAACAGAGAAATAGCACTTGCATATCACGCAGGTATCCTATTGATCACTAAGCAGGTATCACCAATCAGCTTGAATTTCTATGGATGTCTACCTCAAAAAAAAAATGGATGTCCTTGCAAACTTAATTAAATTTATTAGCTCAAAGAATACATGTTTCCAATTCTTGTTCATATTCCAGAATTGCAATTTCTCCTCCTCCAAATAATTAGTACTATTCCAGAGGATCTCCTTCAGTGACTTTTACTTTAGACATCATCATCATTTCTTATCTTCACACTAACAAAACTTTATAATTCTAGCCTTTGCCCAAAACGAAGTAGAACCAACCAAAACAGAAACAGTGGCTATGATAGTAAACATGTGGAAGAGAAAAACTTACGTTGTTCCATAAAGAGCAATCTTGTGAATTTTCGAGACATCACTTCCACTTTGATTGTCCTCAATAAATATAGTCAGGCTGAAATAATAAAAGAAGGCCATTAAAAACAGTGATAAGAAACAAGAGGGAAGAAAAGCATATAAAATGTACATACCTCACGAACATTTTGGAACTTGACATACTTTAGAGGCAAAGGTTTATTCTGCAGGTAAGAAAGGCCAAGACCCATCTGGGTGAGCAAAACAATAATAGCTGGTATGCCAAAAAACTGGATGGCCATCAACCATATATAAGAGTAGGGTGATAAGTCATACGTCTATCAAATGATTGGAGGATAGCTCGAGGGTGTCACTTGGTGGATAGTCATTGACATTGCTGCCATTTATTACATAAATATATGGTCATGCACTCAAGCTGAATAGAAAAGATAATGTGTTCTGAAAAGACCAAACTCCAAACAACTCCAGACAGGTGGTAGAATACCTGAAACCCATATGCTCTTTGTTGGAGAAGAGTTTTACTGTTTTGGGGCCTAATATGAGAAAAGGGCATTATTGTTTGAAAAAGAAAGGCAACCATAAAATTGCAGTGACAGAGCATCATGCAGTTCTCAACAAAAAAATTGCCAAAAAAAGACTTGGCGTTAAGTTGGTAACGCATACTATGTTTTCAGTTAGGTCAAAGTACAAGGAAGCAATAAAATGAAATACAGCCTCCCTTATTTGATGCTGGGTCTAACTTTTATTCTCAATAACACTAACATTAAATTTTCCATCAGAGTCTGATAAGCACCATGCGAAAAAATGGGATTGCACTTTTGGTCTGCAACTCTGCAGGTAGGAACCGACACCGTGAAGCAGCAGCTGGTGGAGCTGCAGGCGGCCTCGGCCATGCCAGAGTCCAGACAGAACAGAGTGGGTCTCAAGCTTGGTGGACTGTTCAAATACTATTCATCTGAAGTCAAATCCTCTCATACAAACTCGACTAGGTGTTATTTAAATTTCACTCTTTTCATCCTACAAAAACTTTCATTCTTGTAAACTTGTTGAAATTCATCTAAACCTTGTGTGCCCATGTATTTATTTGTATACCATGGAACATTAATAAGTTCTTTGCTACAAACAGAATACAAGGCAATCCACATTTTCACATGGCACTTAACAGCCTTTTGATGGAAAAGAGCTAACAACAGTGCCATATTATTGGGAATGAAAGTAAGAACCCGTGTCAAATAAGGGAGGCTGAATTTTCATGCGGTGTCAAATAGGGAATTGTCTCCAATAAAATGGCGACTTAACACTGGCAATACTAATGCAAGTATCAGAAATCTATCACTGTGGGGATCTCCCCCACAGTCTTTTGCGGTAAAAAAAACACTGGCAATACTAATGCAAGTTTCAGAAATCTAAACAAGCAAGCACCTTTGTTGCAAGTCCGAACACAAGGACATTTTTCAGCAGCACAACTAACAATGCATTATGTGAAGGGGCCACCAATCACCAGATGTTAATTCATGAAATCAGAACTGATGTTACATGATCCTCGCAGACCTAACATCAATCAGGTGATCTAGCTATCACTATTGCATATAACTTAGGAATGTAGTGCTCCTACCTACTTTGAACATATAAACTGTCAATTGGGCACAAATCTAGCCTCATCGCACAGAACCCAAACAGGGAGTTGCAAATCTTACCCTCTTCCTCGGGGCCTTTGAATAGTGCGGAATGCAGTTTGACCACCTGCATAAAGGGGATGTAGATCAGCAGCTGCTCGTCCGAATCGCTGGCGAGGTACAGCCCCTCGTCGTCCCGCAAACTCTGCAACCACCAAACAAGCACCACAACGCAATCGCCATTAGAGATCGCAGTACAGCCACGAGCGATCAGAAAGTCAGCACCGACGAAACCCTAGAACTTCCCGGAAAAAAAAAGGAAAACCAAACGAACTGCCCCCACCAAAATCGCGCAAAGAGCAGAATCTAAAATCCGTTCGGATCCCAGGAAGGCGCTGGTCGAGCTAGGGTTTGGGTCGAGGGGGAACGCGGCGCCTACCTGCTTGAGCGCGTTCACGATGCTGTGGGACGAGTCCTGGTTGAGGCACTCGACGCCGGTCCAGTCGATAAAATCGATCAGATCCACCTGCCCGCGCGGCACCTGCACGGTCGCGGCCGGGGCGGGGGCCGGGGTGGCCAAGGCGGCGGCGGCGGCTGCGGTGCTGGCGGCGTCCATGGCTTGGGTTGGCTTCCAGAACCCTCTAGAAGGGCGAGGCTGATAAGACGGAGAGGGAGGGGAGCTGGCGTTCGAGTGTGCGCGCGTGCCGGAAGGCGAACGAGCGAATCCGACTCGTGAGGTGACTTGCTACTCGAGTTGCGGCAGCGGGGATACTGATATCTTCCATGACGCGGTGCGGTCGAGCCGAACACATCAGGGCTAGGGGTCCAGGCGAAAGTTGTCAACTTGTCAGTGTCACACTCCAACTCCGAGAAAACTGTATGCTAAAATTTGTTTCCTCCCTCATTCTCAAAATACTCCCTCTCTTCTAAATTACTTGCTCGCCCACACAAGAATACAATTCTCGTTGTTTTAAAAAATTAAATGCTTTCAAATTTATTTAAATCTGTTAGAAAAATACTAACATTTATATTACCAAACAAATACCATTAAATTAATTATGAAATATATTTTTGTAGTAAATCAATTTGAAGATATAAATGTGAATAAGATTCGCTTTAAACTTGATCAAACTTAAACTACTATAGAGGATATGGATACCATAGTTATATTTTTTCCTAGACATGGGTAGTTTTGGGGAGGTAGGCAGGCCAGGCGGTGGAGACGACGACCGGGCGGCTTCGTGGCCTTGGCGACGATGGAGGCGGCCTGGCCAGGTTGGGGCGGGGTGCGTCGTGACCGTTCTCGCCGGAGTTAGAGAAGAAAGCAGCGGCAGGAGGGGGAAGGGGGAAGAGGAAGGCTGCCGTAGGTGCCGTAGGGTCTCGCCGGAGCTCCGCAGCCACGGCAGCAGGGGAGCGGGCAGGCTGGACGCAGGTTGGAAGAATATGCCGAGGAACAAGATGAACAGAGGGCTGGATCAGCTGGCCGTTGGATCTTGATCCAACGGCTGAGATCGTCGCCTAAAAAATCCAAAATTCAGGCGTCTGGATTATAGCAATTCCCATGATTTTTTGGCATGTTTGGTTCATGACCTGCCAGACAACGATCCCAACCGTTCGAATTGACGACCTAGGGACACTGGCTGGTCCCAGACGTTTGAAGCATAACCTTATGTCCCCAACTCCCCATATTCAATTAAGGCTGATACCAAGACAAAAGAGTCGATGGATTCAATCGAATGCTTACAACGATACTGATGTTATAGTTCAGAATCCAACAGTTTGACAACGATCCTGATGTTATAGTTCAGAAATGGGCAACAGTTTCGAGGTCTCATGACAACTTAACATGTACTCCCTCCTTTCCAAATTATAAATCGTTATGACTTTTTTTTTGGTACATAGAATTTGTTATGTATCTAGACATATGTTATATCTAGATACATAGCAAAATGGGTGTACCAAAAAAAAAGTTAAAGCAGCTTATAATTTGGAACGGAGAGAGTACAACTTACCAAAAGACACTGAGACAGACACCACGTACAGGACTGATAGGCGAAGGCAGGTCGATTTCAAAACAGTTACATGGAGACGGGAGTACGGGACGGCATCACTTGAAACCACCACCATCAATCAAGGGAAACCCACAAGCACAGCTAACGTAGCACTGAAGTCTGATGCCCAGATTCTAGTAATGACTTTGCTGTGGGCTTCACAAAGGAGGATTGGCAGCCTTACATCCAGTGTTTTTTAAACATCCAGAGTTGCCGCAGTAAACAGGGAGGATTATGGGTGGTTCTGCGATATATCAGGAAATCGGGCATCTCTTGTTGAGCTGAAAAGGTACTGAAAGATAACATGTTTGCTTAAGCTATAAAAATATGAGGGCACAAATGCAGACAGAACCAAACAAAAACAAAATGCGCAATTGTGGAATAAATCAATGAGATGGGATAATTATAAGTGCAAAGGTGCAAACCTGGAGGCTAAGTTGAGCTTAGAGGTTTCAACTTATGGTGGCAGTCTTCATTTTCACATTCAGCCTTGCTGAATCTTATGTTTTTCTATGCCATCTCCTTTTTATCAGCTCAGTATCAACTGATATCAAGCCTGTAAAGAAAACACAGTACCTTTTTATTTCAGGAGTAACTTGCCATCATGTATTACTGTTTTAGATTTTAAACACCCCAAATAGTAGAGGCCTAGCAGGTGGATTTTGTTTTGTGGTGTTGGTTTAGTTCCACATTGGGTTCAGAATAGTCACAAATATAATAGCACAGAATTCAGGCAAGGAACTAAAGTACAATTTAACTCATCAAGTCATCACATAGATTATTATTAATAGCAAAGAATGTGTTTTTTATTCGAGAAAAGCAAAGAATGTGTTTTTCTCAGAAATGGCACAATAATGTCTGAAAAGCACAGGATGTTATACAGAAAGTAATTTGCCGTGTTCATCTTTCTTTGCTGAAGGTCTTTCAAGTATGTACAACCCTCTTATCTTTTCTGCTACAGGTTTTTCTACTTTTCTAGATTCTTCTACCAGCATTCATTATTGACAGTGTTTCATGAGAACTTTACCTGGAAACACTGTCAGCGCTGAAATGTCAGCACTGGTATATCATTTCCCTATCATAGTACACAAAAACATGTCTCAGACCTCAGTCTAGTCCTTCCAACAATATGTTGGTCACATTGTCACCATCCACTGTCTGGTAGGCTTCAACAAGCTCTCTAGCCTCCACCAGACCAGAGCTGCCGACCAAGACACGATGAGTCCTTGAATCAGGCACCCACCCCTTTTCCAGCATTTGGTCTAGAAACTTGCATGCCTCACTCTTGAAGCCTTCTTTAATAAGTCCATAAATAATAATATTATATATTCTGGGGCTCACTGTTCCACTTGTATCTATCACTTTCAGTAAACTTTGTGCAATCATGTTGAGAAAAGAAAACAAAGCCATATCATTGACTAACAATTCAAATGTCTCTTGGTCAGGAAAAAAGGAATGATTAACCATTCTGTTGAACAAGATAGCAGCCTCAATAATTGTCTCCTTGGTGAGGAAAGAGCGCAACAGAATATTGTATGCATACCCATCCAATGGACAACCTTCCATCAGCATTTGTGCAAAGAGAGTCAATACATCTTTCCCCTTCTTCAAATGGAGCAGTGCTTGGATAATTATGCCATAAGTGGAGAATGTACAAGAAGTGCCTGTGCAAACAGCCAACGTACGCAATTTGACTGCTTCGCGGATCTTTCCAGACAAGCAACTCCCTTCAATTAGCATATCAAGTGACTTGTTTGTCAGACTGCAGCCTCTTTTATAGTGATATTTAAAAACTTCAATAGCTTCTTGGATCCTCTTTGTGTGACACAAAATCTCTACAAGCTGTGAGAAAGATTCCGAATTCAAAGACAAGTTATTAATACTTACCCTTCTGAACATACTCAAGGCATCTATGTACAATCCTAATCGACAGTAACAAGATATAATAGCAGAATAGGTAGTCTCGTCTGGTGCAAATGAAGAAACAACCATTCTACCAATGAGCTCAGATGCTCTTCTGATGTTTCCTTCATTGCAGAACTGAGTTATAACAATGTTCCATGACTCACAATCAACAAAACCTCTGCTGTGCAATTTCTCAAGATAGCTTACTGAATCCTGCAGCCTGTCATTTCTACACAACCATGTCAGCAGCACATTATATGGTTCTGTTTCAGTGACATCATTTTCCTCTAGAAAGATCACAGCATTGCGGAACTTGGCATTTGTACAGTAACAATTTATCATATCCACATATGTACTTGCCATTGGAGCATGACCCGATGTAATCATCTCTTTGAGCACTATGGTAGCGTCATCCAATAGTTGATTCTCACACAAACATCTAACCAAGGCACTGTACAACTGCAGACTCAACTGAATGTTATCTTCTTTCATCATTCGATGCAACATGATTGCCTCCTTGACTTTACTGAACCTGCAAAACAGGGGCATCACTTGAGCATGGAAGCTGCTATCAGGGGAGCATCTAAGTTGCAGCATCTTATCAAAGAGCTTCACAGCTTCATCTGCTCTGCTGTGGGAACAAAGTGCTGTGATCAGTACCTCAAACGTATGACTATTAGGAGTACACCTCTTCTTGCTCATCCTGTCAAACTGAATCAGTGCCAAGTCTAAACGACCAGATTCACACAAGGCCTCGATCAGCAAATTCAGTGTCTCCAAATCAGGGAGGACTCCCGCCTTGACAATCTCCGTGTACACAAGCATGAACAACCGCAATCCCCTTCCTTGCTTGACCACACCATGCAGCACTCCATTGCAAGCTGAGACTGACAACTTAAGCTTCGCAGAGCTAGCATGCTGGATTACCAGCAAAGCTTCATCAAATTGGTTCTTACTGCTCAGGCACTCAACTAATTTATTAAGGGCCTGCTCCAACGCAGGCACCTTCAGCCTGACCATCTCACTGAGGAGGCTGTCCATCTCATCACGATTTTCCACAGCAGTAAGCCTGGAGATTATACAGCTGTAGGTGTCAACTGTGTGAATGTTATATCTCTGATGTGAAACCCATCTGAAGATCCTAAGAGCCAAGCTCGAGTCGGATGTGGAATCGAGAACCCGGGCTAGACTCTCTGGCCGGAGATTGTCCTTGAGTGACTGGATCGCAGACTCAAACTCAGAAGAACTTGTCCTATCGGCAGAAGCGCGCACGGAGGGCGAATCTGGGCACGAACAGTACATGAGTCTGCCTGATAACAGGTGCCGTCTCGCAAACCGTATGCGAGACACAACCTTCAGCGCCATTGAGGCAGCTACCTGGACACTGACAGCGTCATGCCAGGCTTCGAATGTGTAGGTCCGTCAGTTTGTACTGAATTTTGGAATCTCTGTCCTCCTGCAAGTGTGCATTCCCCTTGTTACTGAAATGAAAACGAGGAACAAATTAAACGAGTAATCTACCCGGTCAAGCTGGGGAGGGTTCCTTACCGACGTAGGCGAGGCGAAGAGGAGAGGCAGAACCAAGTGGCGCTCCGGCCGAAGGAGGGAGCGGCCGCGGGCCCGCCCGGACGCTCGGCGGAGAGGCGTCGATTTGGCTGGCCGGCCTCGCCTTCGACAGCGCCGCCGGCCGGGGTCGAAGTCCAAGGGAACGGGACGGCCGGACGGGAAGCGAAAGCAAGAACCAAGGAGGAGGTCGATTGACGATTGGGCGTGGCGCCGTTGCGGGCGAGGCTCACTCAGCCCAGGAGACAGCAAGGCCACAACGAGCCCACCCGCGATGCCTGGTCCGGCCGTCGGCCCGTCGCATGTGCAATTTTGTTTGGGAGACCTGGGCCGGCCGTCGGCCTGTCGCGTGTGCTACTAGGCGCAGTGCAGTGGCACCCACCACTCGGCCGCCATTCTGCTGCCTCTTTTCCCGCCATTCTCCTACCTCTTTTCCATCTCTGCCTTTACCGCAGTCCGCACCGTTCCCCCTGCCCCATGCTTGCGCCGCCCGCCTGCATCCGAAGCAGGCAAGCAGCCGGAGCCACCTTTGCTAGGTCTTCGTCAGGCCGCAACACTCGCTGATCCCGTCCGTGAGTCCACTTCCACTCCGCTGGCCCAGGGGGCACCGTCTGAGGACCGCCGCCGGCCGCTGGAAGATCCTCCTAGTGCCCTGGTGAGGAACGCCTGCACCCCTCCTTGCATCTTGCAAGTCGCTTCCTGCCTGCGACTCTCTCTCTCTTGTCTCTTACTCTCTTCCCGTTACCCCTTGCCCGGATGCCGTGCAGCGTGGAGGTGGAGTACTGGAGTGGCCCCCAAACTCTTTGAACTCCATAAGGTACGCCAACCCTGACCTATTTATTATTCAGTATATCATTTTGTCCCCAAATTAGTTCAATTGATCTAGCCTATAGATGGTAGGCACTGGAATTAGGGATTTATTGGTTGATTACTCATGCATTATGTAATTTGGTTGTTGGATTTGTGAATTATGAAGAGGGATGGAGACATTCTAATTGATGCAAGTTTCAAACTTAATTGTCATATCTAAGACTTACTTTATTTAGTTTTTGTATACCAAATTGCGGGGCACGGTTGCTCACCGATCGCATGTGTAAATTTTGGTCTAGCATCCTAGGTCCGCCACTGACGAATACCCCTTCCCTTGCCTGCTGTGTGAAACCAAGCTCCCAGAACCCTAATACAAGCTATTTGTATTCGGATCTGACCCAGTTACAAGTATATATATACATGTATTATGTCCACTAGCTTTGAATTTTTCTGCAAAAACTATCGCCATGTACTCGATCCAACCCTGATTGGATTCGTAGGGTCCTGCGCGAACTCCACCCCCATCTCCAACCCTCCATTTCTCGTTTGTCAAAAAGAAAAAAAAAATCCTGCATGCCATGCCTTCTTCTGGTCTAGTTTCCTGACGGTTTTTTTTTCCTGCAAATGCAGTCCATGCCTTTTTTTGGTCTAATTTGGATTCCTTCGTTTCGTTTGGTACAGGCTGTTTTTTATCTAAGGATGGGTAGGGACGACGAGCCGGTTGATTCTATGGATATTGACGGCCAGAAGCAGCAACAGCTAGAAGCCCTCACTGCTGTACAGAGGGGTTCAGCACTGACTATCTCCGAATCTACTATGGTAAACTGATTTGTTCCCTTATAATGGCGTGGAATGGAGAAGATAAATTGAAACAGGACCGACACATCTTGTCTGTCCATAACTATATGTTTTCTGAAGTTATCATTGATTTTGCACAAAGTTGAGGTCTTGCATCACAGTTTAGGGGCTGTGTTTTTTTAATGAATGCTATGGTTGATTTTTTTTGTATGTGGCCAACACTCTTGTAGTGTAGCGGTAAGCTCTCCAGTTTAGGGAGACATCAGCCAGGTTTCAAATCTGGTGGCAACCAAAAAAAAAAATCCCCTTGCTAGCAACCCAAAATATAGTGGCAGGGGGCTCACTTGTGGCGCTTGCGGTTGGTTTGAGCCCTCCTCCCAAGGGGTAGTTGCAGTGGTTGCCAGCCCAGAAGGTCGTGGCCAACCCAGGTTACTTTGCAGCTCTATAGGGTGAAGCTGGATTTCAGTTTTTTTTTCCCTCAGCCCGTGTGGTTGAGGCTGCATCTTAATCATAATGTCTCTTGGAGTCTGTTCCCTAGGTTTGAGGTTTTTTGGTTGTTCTATGTGATGGAGACATCTAACAGATGAAGAAACAATTGGCTATCATTTGCTTGCTGGAAGAGTTCCCTCTCCAATTTTCTTGAGAACTTTAGTATATCTTATTTTCATACTCCTTTTTCTTTTTCAAGGCGTAGCACATTTTGCTAATCATCTGGTGTAAGGCATGCTCTTTATCTAACTGAGGCTTTTCATTTAAAAACCTGCTCTACTATGTAAGGAGACTGGTTAGTCTTTGATTTGTGCTTCTGTTTGTGATAACAACTTGCATTATGATTGCAGGAAAGCTCTTCCCCTATGGTGATTTCTTCAAATGGCTTTGCTATGGAAATGGTTCATGCTCACATCCTGATTCTTCGATTATAGGAGTTAGCCTTGCACTCTTGCTGTGTCTTGATTGACCAAATTTTCTTTTCTATAGATGGAAAGCACCCTGGATGTGATCAGTCATATGTTGGACGTCGGGAGTTTTCACTTACACTGGAGAATGACATCTACCTGTGCTTCCAATCCTTTGATAATGCTACTGAATTGGAGAGTTCTATTAAGGAGAAGTGCCCTTTCAAGATTGATATTGGACCTGTCTACAGTGTAGATGTATGATGCAGCATTGCTAAACACATCATTTTTTGTGTGTTTGATTCTAATTTTCTGCATTACACTCTTTTTGCAACTACCTGATGAATCATGTTTTCTTTTCTGTAGCCTTCAAAGCATCATGCTTATGCCCAATCTGGCAATAATGTCTTTGTACCGGTGGAAAGGGAACTAATTTTTGACATTGTAAGATAGGAAACTTACATTTTCTTTTCTTTCCCTTTACCCTTTATACCTGTGCAAGCTGTATTCTTGTGTGATGTGCACTGTTGCAAGCTGTCAACATTTTATTTTTTCCCAGGATATATCTGATTATGATGATGTTCGCTACTGCTGCTCTGGAGCTGATGTCTGCTTAGATTGCTGGCTGTTAATGACAATTGCTATCAAAATTTTGGATACTTCGCTTAGAGGCATGCCATTTTTTTACGCAATAAATCATAACATGGACTAGTCACTTTTGCATATTTATCCACACAATGCAGTTGGTTACTGACTTCCGCTGAAGTGTGCATTTGTGTGCTTATTATAATTAAAATCATTGTTTCCAGATGATTTTGGTTTCAATCACATACTCTGGGTATACAGTGGGAGTCGTGGTGTCCATTGCTGGGTCTGTGATAGCAGAGCAAGAAAGTATGCCTGAATTAACTCCTATTTGTCTCCTATGTTTGTGATCTTAAAACGCATGTGTTCTCCTGTTAGGCTCAGCAATGAACAAAGGGCTGCGATTGCTGACTACTTTCGAGTCTACAAGGTGGCACTTCATCATGCGTTACTCTTGATTCCATTTCTTGCCCCCTCCAGAAATCTATTTAACCCTATGAATCTATCTCAGGGTGGTGAAAATGCGCTAAAGAAAGTATCCTTGGCTGGACCTGTCCTCCATCCTTTCCTAGCGTATGTCTTAGCTGTCTCGTCAGTTTGTTTGATCTACCAACACACTACACACAATGGAAGAGCTAAATTTATTGTTATGTAATTTATTATTCTCCTGCAGGCGGTCATACACGGATGTTCTTAGAAGCTTCTTTAATGATAAGTTGCTCCTTAACCAACAACTCTTTGCATCAGAGGAGAGATGTCAGAAGATTCTTGATCTTATCCCTGACAAAAGTAAGAAAAGGCACCCTGAAAAATGAACGTTACTCTGACATAGATGAAATCTACCATCCCTTGTTTAGCATGGCATAGATATGTTCGCCATCATTCTGAATTGGATTTCATTTCTAGATGTTGCTAGTGAGCTCCATGGCAAGTGGCAGGGAAACAGACGATCTTCTCTTTCAAAGGAAGATGTCAATGCAACCAGATGGGATCAATTGAAGACGACTTTACAGTCAGGAAAGCACAAGGTTTGTTTAATCTCCTAATTACTTTTTTCTGTGTTTAATCCCCTGCGTTCCTATTTACTTTTGTTTGGACATTTGCCTGTTTATCAATCGATATTTATTTCTTTTGATTGTGTAATATTCTGATTTCTCAATTACAGCCATATCTGCTGGCTCATCTTATTATGTTAAATAATAGTGCTAATTATTCTATGTTTCAGACTCAAGGGCTTCGTAGATGTGTGGAAGAGATTGTCTTCTCATACACATATCCTAGACTTGACATGGAGGTAAAAGAGAATTCATCAGTTGTATGAGTTTGCACTAGTAATGTACAAGGTGGTTCTCACTCCTAATCAACTTTATACCCATGCCAGGTATCAAAGCACATGAATCATTTACTAAAAGCTCCCTTTTGTATACATCCGAAGACAGGTAAAAGTCATAATGCATTCAATTCCCGACTTCCTGTATTAGTTTATAATGTGATAATAAAGTGGCATGCTCTTATGCTCAGGGTTCTACATATGCATGGCATTGGCATGTCCCTTTAAAACCTTTAGACTCCAGAACAGATGCATTCACTTAAAATACTTGACCTTTTCATTTAGTTTATTCTGTCAAGTCAAAGTCAACTGAATTATTCTAACGACTGGAGGATTTTTTTTGGTCACACACCCCTTTGCTGACATTTTATTGTTATTTCTTTTTCTAGGTCGTGTTTGTGGTCCAATTGATCCCAATAATTGTGATGATTTTGATCCTGCAGCCGTTCCAACTCTATCACAGGTATGGTCGGTCCATAGAGCCTAGCATGAATTAAGACACAGTGACACACTATCATTTCATATTCTTCCAAGCATCATGGTACAATGCTGATTTGCTAAAACAAGTACACTTATACAACTTTTAGGAGAGCTCAATGCTGCTGGTTTTCAGACAGATTCTGAAAATAGTAAGTGATTATAGCCATTCACCTTTTGGGATTTGTGTGAACATATATTATTTCGTGATTGCAAAAAACAAAAGGCATTCTAGTACCATGCAGTTTTGCCTAATAGGCTAATATGGCTTGGTTTTTCACAATCCTATTATGAGTTTCAGATTGGGAAAGAATGTCCCTAGAGAAATCCATCAGTTTCTTCAGAACATCCTTTCTGGAACCATTGCTGAAAGCATGCAAGGTACGGACTATATTCCCTACATTTTTGTGGCAGTGCCGCAATCCTTATGCATCTTTATGAATAATCCAAGTCCTGCAAAATATCTTTGACAGCAGAAACTTAGGCACACATGATTGTTTCTGCTGTCGAAGATTTTTTGTGATCTTGTGCTTGAAACCATATGCCGCAATCCATATGTTAGGATTCTTGCTTACTTTCAGCTACGCTCTTCTCAAGTCCTTGATATCATGCGATCTTGTGCTTGAAACCATTTAATGTTTCCCTTGAGCATTCTCTTACTAGGAATTAACTCTTTTCTATCTCGTGATTCTGACACATCCTGGGGCATAAGTCTGAATCATTTTCTGCCATTTAATTTTGCAGGAGGAACTGGAGAGTGCATACAATGCAAAACTCCAGCAATCCAAGAATTCCTTGAACTCGTAGAACATATGCATGTTTCTGTTTCTGCTATGTCGATCAGCTCCCCCTCCCAGAGTATTTCAACTGGGGCACGGACCTCGTGCTAATGGATTAGGATTATTTCTGTGACGTTGCCTGTCTGTGTTGCATGCCTGGGATGCATCCTACGCCCTACCCATGCAGGACTTGATATCTTTAGGTTTAAGTGACTTCAGGGAACAGTATTTTCCTTTCACAAATTCCTCCAGATTCGTTCAAAATCATCCAGATTCCTCTAAGCGAACGGGACCAATATAGCGCACTTGCTGGTTGACGATACCATCCAAGATCGTAGGCTACACATATGTAGCAACTTGGAACAAGTCTAATTGCATAATGACCTGTATTAACCTTCTGTAGATATGTTTAATAAGATCAGCAGAAAGATTATTTGTTTGCTATCAGCCGTTGTAGGCAACCCTTATTTGTTTCATGTATCTTAAAGCGGGCCGCATCATTGATCTCAAGAAAAAAAGTTTGTTACTAGTAATGACGTGAACAAGAAAACAAAACAGAGCGCGTAGTGTGTACCGCGTCGCATCTGAGCTGACACGGTACGTACGCGTACGTGACCAAAGGGTAACTGATCGAATCTCCCTTGCTTGGTGCAGTTGGTGAGCATGCACGCAAACACGCAGTGGTTGTGCAGAGGCACACGTCAGTACGTCACGCAAATCTCTGTCCATGACCATGGCCATGATAGAGATGGTCGCCTCTAGACTCTAGTTGGCTGGCTCTCAGTCCTCAGCGCCTAGTAACGACGCCGATCGAGAATAAAAGATCACATCGTCTCTGCGCAAGTGGCATTAGTTAGTCTTCGTGCTGACGCAAGAGCGGAGCGCACGTCGCCTGTCGTCTCACTGTGTATTTGCACATCTACACATTGCACGTCGCACTATGTACACACTTCGTAAATTAGGCCTGTTTAGGTCTACGGGGAGCCTAATACTAAAGATTAGCCCTTATTATAATGAAAGGGCTAAAGTAGGCTAAAGTTTAGCTCACGAGACTGTTTAGATTTAGGGGCTAAAGATTAACCATGTACTCTACCATGACACGTGCATTTGCCCCTAATTAATATCCATGCACAGTCAAGCATAGAGATGTGGGGTGGGGGGGGGTAATATACGTTTTTTTTTTGCCCCCACAGTACCACTTTTAACCCTCGGTAGCTCACTCTGAAGGGGCTAATGAAAAGAATTGGTTAAAATTTAGCCCTCACTTTTAGTCCTCCTGTTTAGATCCATGGCTAAATTAGCTCTTAGCCCTCATGGATCCAAATAAGGCCTTAACAGCTATTAAACAGAAAAGTCGCTTCCTGACTGGGTCTTCGAGTCCCGCGGTGGTGAAAAGACCGCGCCAATTAATGTGTGATATGAAATGGAAGCAGAGTGGCCAGATTAGTATTGTGTTAGCACTTAAAGAAATGAAATGGCACCCTACTAAAAATTTGTCAAACTTAGGGGTCATCATGGCCCTCTTTATCCTAACTCTAGTCTCTCAGGCTAGCTAGTGGCATTAAGTTGGGTTCTTACTTCTCGTTTAACAAAAATGCTATTGTCAACCATGTCCGCGAAACGTTTGTAGTGACTTCTTTTTTCAATCTCAAGATTTCCTAGCCTAATCTTTTAGAGATGCTAATAAAGTTGGATGTATATATGGGTTTATAAAGGTGAGCATGTGGCCACGTATGTTAGCGTCTATGCCTAGACTATGATTTTAAAAATGGAGTAAAATGCACGCTAGGTCCATGAACTTTTAAAATGATTATTTGAGTCCTTTAACTTTTTCAAGTGATTTATTCTAAGTTCATTCTAGATTCAATCATAGGACTAAATTTACATTTTACAATTTGAATGGACTACCTAAAAAGTTAAAAGACCCGGATGATTATTTCATCGATCCAAATGAGAATATATAGAAAGGATGTAATTCTAGGATTCATGTGTTGTTCAGAAAAGAATACAATTCTAGCTTGATAAGTAGGTGTCGTATCCTAAAATGTGTACTCTATAGATGTATTGTATGATGCAACTAGCTATAGAGTTTATAGGTGTAATCATTTGCTTTTGTCACATCAACACATGTGGAGAATAAAAGAAAACAAAGGTACATGCGTCTTTTTATTTGTATGATGTGCTAGCTTCTTCCCAATGTGTGAAAATTGTATTCTTTGAATGGAGGGAGTACATTGTATTTGATTCTTAAGAAAAAGGTTGACAAAGACTTTTAACAATCAAGATGTCACGCTGGTAAAAAAAATTCATGATCGGGCCATTCACCCGTTATGCGCTGGTAAAATCATCAGAATTGCAACCCCTAGCTTTAGTCGCAGCAGGAGCTAGAAATGCTTTTTTTTTTTTAAGGCTAGATATTTTTTTAAAAGAAATAGTTAAATTTTAAGAAAAAAATCCAGTACAAATGGGGGTCTTTACCTCCCCCACCTCCGCAATCGCCTGCCTCGTTGCTAATTGGGCGGTGTTTGTTTGAGAATGTTAACTTAGCCAGCATTGTTTTTTTTTGTTCTTATCTCTCTTGCTCACAAATCTTGTATGTTTGGACGACCTTGGCATCGAGGTTCAGACCGGTAATCGCCTGCCGAGTTTCTCTATTAAAAAAACTCAACAGAAGCCAAACCAGATTATTGGGCCTGTTCGCTTGGAGGAATTCTGGAGGAATTTGGATGGTTTGGAGGAATGCTGGAGGAATTTATGAGAGAAAAATACTGTTCCGGATGAAAAAAAAAAGAAGCGGATTAAGTTGGGTTTAAGGGCACGCGAACGGGGCCATTAATTATTACATGTAGTATGTATGACACATCACCCAACCCAACATTCGTGTTGAAATTATCTCCAATATATAACGAGAGTATAATGGTATAGAACTATAGATCCCCTTGCATAACTCAGAAGGTATTATTTGGTCAACACACGCAGCCGACACAGGGAGAGGCAGTGGCTAAGACGTCATCATAATTCATAAAAAAGCAATAAGAACAGGGACCAATTAGATGAAGTGATCGTGTCAAATACTCTTGGTATGCATGAATATGCATACCGATCAATAGAACTGTTTGGGAATTAGAGCAGCTGCCATTATTTTCCTAAAAAAAAGAGCAGCCGTGTCCATCACCATCGGCGGCAACAACTAGCAAACGCAAATAATCCATGGAGCACAAGAAACATATACAAGATTGAAAGTCAGAGCTCCTGTCACTGCGTTAAAAATGACGTACAAAGGTCATAAAACACAAGAATATATTTCAAGGAATTTTGATAGGACATGGGCACCACCAGCTCGTTCGAAGTTGCAGGGCATTTGTGTTGCTTTCCAAATAGTGCATGAACAACCAGAGAAACCGATGTTTGAACAAATGATGCTTAAATCCCCTACTGTACCATGACAAAGATGCACTAAAACCATGTTTTGTTATTAAAATAAAAGTAACTTCAAATTACATGTTCAGAGCGACACAAGAGGATGGATCACACACACATGCATGAATAATGAGCGAAAACGAGAGCAATACCTCACCAACGGCCAATGGGCGACTCAACGAACCTGACGTGCCACCAGCATTGTGCAGCCGCTGCAATGAACAGCAGCAAGTCGCAGGTCACGTCAGGATCTGATGCAAACGGTTCTGTGCCGGGGTGTGATGTGAAGGTCTCGCGCTGCAGTCTGCGAAGTGCAAATAATCATGTGGTGATGAGGAGGAGATTACGAACGAAAATCCCACTGGTCAAGAGAAAAGAGATGACGGATTAAGATAGGGGTTATGGAGGATGGTTGACCCACCACCTTACATGGCAATATAGTGAGATGAATTGACCACCATCTGAATGCGATTAGAGATCTGAAAACAAAAGATGCAGTGCAGGCCTATCATTAGTATACTCCTGCACCAACAGACAAGATAGTATTTATATCTCAGTGTATTTCTTTGTCCATATTCTTTTCTTGAGATATATCACATATAATATACTCTTTTGTTTAGATTTTGATCCGGCGTGGGACAACTATTGGCAAATTGTTAAGCTGCCGGATTCAGTTTATCCTAATGGAAAACTACGTAGGAGCTCCTCTCCTCCTGACGTGACCGGACGCGGTATCATTCTCATCATTTAGTCCACTATTCCTTGGTTTCAAGTACACCAACTATTCATCTAAAAAAGGTACAACAATTATATGTCTTGTTCATCAACTCATCAAATTGTAGCCCGTGTTTAGTTGTTCATTCATGCCTCGGAAACAAATGCAAGTATTTGTCAAAAAAATATGTAGACAGATAGGCCATGTTCGCTTGTCTTATAATCCGTATTTTTCAGCTTGTTTTTTCAGCCGAAACAGTATTTTTCTCTCATAATAAATCAGCCGGAACAGTGCTTCGGCTTGTTTTTTCAGCGAAACGAACGGGGCCATATAATAGAAGGTAGGAGTCATGTGTGCCACTGCCAGAGTTAAAAAGAATCTTTCTGTAGTAGAAGAGCAAAAAGGCCTAGGAAATAGGCTTAGTTGTTTTTTAAGAATAAAATAAATCAGGCTGTTAGTAGAGCAAAGCGATATGGCTGATCGCCTAAATCCTCACAAAAGTAGGCTGTAGTACTAGCTGAAATCGATGACCACCGAGACTGAGACACTGAATAGTGAATACAGAGAAAAAAGCTGCCCCTCGACTATTATTCCAAACAGGAAGCATCCTTGAAGCAGCCAAATTGTCAAAAATTCGTGCAGTGCAGGCGACATGATTTTGGTTGTTTCTGTTGATTAGATCGTGCAAGCATAAGCATAGAGGCTAAAGAAGGTTATATAAACAAAGCTAAAGGAATAGCACAAGCGGCCAACAAACACGGGGAATAACTAGGGACTTCCGAGTCCCTCCTGTTCCCTCAAAAAAAACACGGGGAATAACTAGACCTAAAGCGTTTCTCTCTCTTTTACTTTCGTGTTGTAATGAAAAGTACCGGTACTGATACGATTTTCAAAGGTACCGATACTTGGCTTTCTCATGCAATCATTTGATTGAGCACTACACAATCCATCTTTTAGTGTGTATGATTTGAAAATCAGAGAAAGAAGAACATAAGCAATCAAGTTCAGTGAAAAAGGTACTAACATTAAACACATCTTATGAGTGGGTGAGGTTTCAGGATCATCTTATTAAAGGATGAGATTAGCAGCTACATAAACAAGCTCAACTGTTCAAGACAACAACTGGAAGAACTCAGCTAGCTGTCTATTCATCAATCAACAATAAATGGGAAATGATTCTATGTTCCATATTGGTACAAATCCTGAACCAAGTGAGTAGAACGAGACAACAATGTCTGTCACTAACAAGTAACAACAAACCCTAGTCCTGGGGTTTTTTTTACCACGTCCACCACCACGAAAGGGGGGCCAAAAATTTCGACACAACAGCAAGAAAGCGAAAGGATCACGAATTCACGAGCAGGCAGGTCAATTAGGTAGGAAAAATCTAGTCACTGCTGCCCAAATTTTATCATGCCCCCAAACATGAACAAAATGTTTGCAAACGAAGTGGTCCACCGTGCCAATGATCCAAGCACAATAAACAAAGATAGAGGCCATGGTGCACGCACAGAGGCCCAAAAAACAAGTCAGAGAAACCCCAAAGGAAGCGCCTATATATACCAAATTGAACACACGGCAACAGCACACAGTGGACACGAATCACTAGTAGACACAGCAAGAAAGAGACCAAGCATTCCACTGCCCTTACCGTTGCATGCAGACAAGTGCAGCCCGGCGATGACGAGGGTGAGCTCGAGGGCGGTGGCGGCGGCGTTCTTGGTGCTCGCGGTCGCCTGGCCGCTGCTGGCCTCGGCCCAGCAGGCGCCGAGCATGCCTCCGCCGTCCCTGCCTGCGGCGGCGGCCACGAACAACTCCCGGTTGGAGAAGGCGTACGTGGCGCTGCAGGCGCTGAAGCGCGCCATCACGGACGATCCTAAGAAGCTGACCAAGAACTGGTGCGGGCCCGACGTTTGCAACTACTTCGGCGTGTACTGCGCGCCGGCGCCCGACGACCCCTGCCAGCGCACGGTGGCTGGCGTGGACCTCAACCACGGCGACCTCGCCGGAACGCTCCCTGAGGAGCTGGGCCTCCTGTCCGATCTCGCCGTCTTCCACCTCAACTCCAACCGCTTCTGCGGCTCCCTCCCCGAGTCCCTACGCTCCCTCCACCTCCTCCACGAGATCGATGTCAGCAACAACCAGCTGTCCGGCCCCTTCCCGTCGCAGCTCCTCTGCCTCCCCAATGTCCAGTACGTCGACATCAGGTGAGCACGCATACAGTACACGCATCAGATTACTTGAACCTGCGAAAGAAGCTGTATATCAGTGCAACTTAATTATGTGTTGTGTTGCATGTGTGTGTGAACTGTGAAGGTTTAACAACTTCTGCGGCGAGGTGCCGGCGGCCATCTTCGACAAGAAGATCGACGCGCTTTTCATTAACAACAACCACTTCGAGTTCTCGCTGCCGGACAGCTTCACCAACTCGACGGCGTCGGTGATTGTGCTGGCGAACCTGCCGCGGGTGAGCGGCTGCCTGCCGAGCAGCATCGGCGACATGGCCGGAACGCTCAACGAGCTAATTCTTCTAAACAGCGGCATCTCCTCCTGCATCCCGCCTGAGATCGGCAAGCTGGACAAGCTCACCGTGCTCGACCTCAGTTTCAACAACATCGCTGGCACGCTGCCGGATACGATCGGCAACATGCGCGCGCTGGAGCAGCTCGACGTCGCGCACAACCAGCTCGCCGGCGAGATACCCGAGAGCATCTGCGAGCTGCCGCACCTCAAGAACTTCACCTACTCGTACAACTTCTTCTGCGGTGAGCCGCACCGGTGCCTCGAGGTGCCGCGCATCGACGACCGGCAGAACTGCATTGCTGGGCGCCCCGACCAGCGGCCAGGCGAGCAGTGCATCTCATTCCTACACCAACCTCGGGTACACTGCGACGCCCACGGGTGCATCGCGCCACCATCGCCGCCGCCGCCGCCGCCGCCACCGCCACCGCCACCAGTGCATGCTCCTCCGCCGCCTGTATACTGATCTGTGGTAACTTGTAATTGCTTCCTGCCTTGTGGTGTGAAAATTGAAGGGTAAATGCATACACATGATATATACTGTAATTTTTATTTCTCAACAAAGAGTAATAATGGATTCATAGATTTTCATTACGAAACGCTTCGCATATTCTCAAAAGAAAAATATTTGCACTGCACAACTCAACTGAAAGTTTGGTGAAAGAGACTTATCAATATAATTCCTTTATTTCTTGTATTGGTTTTTTAATGTTGTAGTACTGAAAGTCATAGCTAAGTAATGTTCTCTTAGCAGTACGATCTGCAAATACTTCACTTCTCATCACATTTATCAGTATAAATGGTTGAGTTATAGCTGTAGTTTAGATGAGGGACCATGTCTAGACAGAATTAGGACCACTGCTAAAGTGGGAGGAAACAAAGAAAAACGACATAAGGATAGCCGCATTGTTTTGCCATTTACAGGTTAAAAATCATATAAATGTTGGGATAATCGTGCAACATTTGGGTGTTCATAAGAGTTGGTACATTACAGCATGCTAGTTTCGCAATTTAGATACCAACCATTGTTGAAAAGTTATGTTTGACAACAATATATGACCTATTCAAGAATTGAAGCTAAGAAAACAGAGGATAATAAATTAAAAAGAATCTAGTTCAGTACACCAAATGATGTACAGTAGTGGAATAATGCATTTGATAAGGATGGTCAAAGGGGAATATAAAAAGGTGCTCTCATGGATTCCAGCTGCAAAGAGCGTTTTCTTGTACTCTATGGTTGATCGACTCAAAGGGCAAGAAACTTCGCCTACCTCTCATCTTGGCTGGCTCCAGGCAGGCAGGATTTCTTCATGCAAGTACTCAACATACATCTTTACCTTTATCCATATAACTTCTACTTCATGTCCTTATCACATGATCGACCTACTAAAAGATTACATAACTGAAAAGAGTATGATGTGCAACATCCAAGTATATCTGGTAAGAGTAAAGCATGCTAACGATTTTGTGGAGATGGGTAAGACCATAAAGCTATGTAAAGATGGTTGTGATGGGAACATGAACATATGAAAGTATCACTGGAGAATGCAATCTCAATTTTGAAACTGAGTGATCAGGCTAAATGGGATGGCTGACCTATTTTTCACAGTTTGATCAACTGAATGACAAACCAATAGATGTTAACTAGGGAAAGTAGGATAAGTTGGTGCATAGTGCAAGTAGAGAATAAAATGTGACAATGACAGTGACTAAACCAGTATTATACCAAGTGTAATACGGCTACTTACCCTAAAACAAATGACAAAAAGCTGATGGCATCATTCTTACACCCATTATTGAGACTAAGTCATAGAGTCGAGGACCAGGTCATCAGAAAATCAAGTCTGGTAAGGTAGCAGGTGGCCTAATGTGTTCTCATTGCAAAGAAGACACAAAGCCAGGGTCGGTCAACCAAGTTTCATGGACACGGACTGACGGATAACATACAATTTCAAGTTTTCAACATTCGTCAACAAATCGCAATGTGTATACATGGTGTATATTTCTGATTTACCTATTTCTCTTTTCAGTAATGCACTCATGCTGTGGCTTAACTCTGTTCAAATGCTCCAGCTGTCCAGCATTTAATTGTGCAATTGTAGCTAAATAAATGTGGTTTCTTGATCTATCTGTGAAATTAAATAGTGATGACTGTTACGGGACCAATATGGTACACTACACTATGCCAGTAGTATAACATATGGCCTGAATTCTGAATAACCATTATGACTATCATCAGACATAACTGAATAAAGAAAAGGACTCCTTAGACTTTATAACTGGTTCCTAAGATAGTTATATGACAGAACCATAAAGGCGATGCCTTTAATGAAGAGTTTATTCCAATTAATTTAGGGAAGATTCAAAGAAAGTTTTGGGGAATCCTGAACCATATATCAATGAAACTCAAATAAAAACACCTTCTTTTTTATTAAAAAGATTCAGTTCTTGGTTAATACGGTGATCTTTTCTTCAAGCAAGCAGAAGTTATGCAGTAATATTGTACCGACGGGAATAGGCGACACATAATAGCTGTAGGCAAGGCAGAACTCAGTGAATAATGCTGATCGATATGCACTCAACTCAGAAAATCAGGAAGTTAATTGGCTTTGACTATAATTGGATATTCAACAGCAAATTCAAGGTTACATAACCTAGCATCATTCAGTGCCAATAATATTCATAAAAAGAATCATCAGTCGTCAGTAGGTTTTCCATGGATATACAGATTCACCATACCTGAGTGGAAGGCATTGCAATACAAGATATTGAGGTACAAGAATTTTGTTCCTAAAAATCTACCAATAGTCACCGCAAGAGCAGATCCCTTTTTCAAAGTGATGGAAGCGGTTCAGATCTCTGAGTATAATTCGCCTATTGAAGACCATTGAGACAAGCTTTGCCATCGAATGGCAATCTGGGCATACGCGGAGATTCTTCACAACACGCAGTGTAGCTCCTGGAGCAGTATTCAGAAGCCCAAAAGCAATTGCCAGCTTCTCACTATGGTATTTTAGGCTTATTGCCTTCTCCTCCTCATCCATTTCGACATGAAACACATGTGAAGTATCAGGGACATAACCGACAAGTTTTAGTTGATCGATCACTTCATCAACCATTTTCCGTGCTTCTTGTGATTTGGGGTGCCTTCCATCTCCCTGCGAAGAACTCATGAACCGTGTTATCTATCTCGATTGAGCTGCAGCCAGGCACCTTTACCACACCTTTTTCGCTCATCAGTTTTCTTACCCTATTCATCTCTTCCCAGTATCCAGTGTTTGCACACAAATTCGAGAATATTACATAGTCACCACCATGAGAATCGTCCAGCTCAAGAATCCTCTCAAAGACACGCTTGCCAAGTTCGACATCTCCATGGCCTCCACAAGCAGAAAGCAACGTCCTCCATAAGATGGGGGTGGGATTTATTGCCAGTTCATCAATGAACTTATAAGCTCTCTCCAGCTGCCCTGATCGAGCTAGTAAATCCGTCACACAACCATAGTGCTTGATCCCTGGAACGATACCATGATCTTTCATATCATCGAAATACCGAAGCCCTTCACTCACCAGACCAGAGTGGCTACAGGCATAGAGCACACCAAGGAATGTAATATCGTCAGGCTTCATCCCTTGCTTCTTCATCTCTTCAAACAGTGAAATGGCTTCCCTGCCATAGCCATGGTTAGCGTACGCAACGATCATCACTGACCAAGCCTGCCTATCTCTTGATTCCATCCCCTGGAACACAGCAACGGCGTCCTCCAAGCTCCCACACTTTGCATACATGTCAATCAGCGCAGTGCTGACCTTGACGAGGGAACCGAGCCCTATCTTCCGAACATAATCATGGACCCACCTCCCCAGTTCGAGCGCCCCGAGCAAGGCGCACGCCGAGAGCACGCTGATCACCGTCACGGACGTCGGCTTGAGCCCCTTGGCCTGCATCTCCCGGAACAGCACCAGCGCCTCCCGGGCCGGCTGCTCCTGACGGCCGCGGCGATCATCGCGTTGTACGAGACGACGCAGCCCCGTCCGTCCGCCCAAACATGACGCGCGCGCGGCGCGCGCGTCCCCGCACTCGGCGTACATGTTGATGAGCGTGGGGCGGACGTAGTCGTGGCCCGCGGCGCCGAGCTTGACCGCAAGGGCGTGCGCCTGCCGCCCTTCCTCCCCCGCGCGCGCCGCGGCGCACGCCTTGAGCAGCGACACGAACGTGTACGTGTCCGGCGCGACGCCCTCCTCCAGCATCCGCACGAACACCCGCGCCGCCGCCGAGGCGGAGGAGGAGGAGCGCGCGTAGCCGCGGAGCAGGGTGTTGTACCAGACAGCGTCCGCCGGGTGGGGCACCCTGTCGAACACCTGGCGGGCGTAGGCCAGGTGCGCGGGGCCCGCGGCCGGTCCGGTGCAGAGCGTGAGGAGCCTGGTGACCAAGGCCGGGTGCGCGGCGAGGCCGGCCTTGACGGCGGCGCCGTGGAGCTGGGCTAGCCCGCGGAGGCTGGTGCAGTGCGGGAGGTGGGAGAGGACCGGGTGCTGCTGCGGTGGTGGGCTCTTGGGCTTGGCGGGAAGGAGAGGGGCAGGCGTGGCGGTTAGAGGCGCGGACGACATGGCCGCCCGCCCGTCCCGTTATCTTCGAGAGACGCGGGGACGCGACGCAAGACAGAGGGATCGCCAGAGAAGAGATTAGCGACGCTTGACGCCTTGGAGATTCTACTAGGAAATTGCAGATGCGGATGGGCCCCTGGGCCTGACTAGGCTGGGCCGAGATCTGGTTAAATCGGGCCAGACATCAAGGCCCAGGCGCCGTCGCGGTTCCATGACCATGGCCATGGCCCCGACAAAGAGAGAGCACCTGTTCCCCGTTTGACCTGGGCACGCGACGATACCAGCCAATGGACGGCCACGGCCAGGTCAGCTCTGACGACATCAGAAGAACAGGGCAGGGAGCAGGCACTCATGAGTCACGCCACGTGATATCGGACAGTGTGGTATGGATGGGAAGCGCGCGGGCAGGAACAGAACAGGAAGCGACGGCGACACGGCTTCTTCTGTTCGCACACAGTTGCCTGTGGAACATGCCAGCCGGACGCGGCACGGGCACTGAAAAGACTCGATGATAAGACGGGGGCTCGGCTCGTGCATGCAGCCGCTGCCGTGGCTCCAATTCCCCGGAAGAAATCAGATCAGATCGCGCCATGTAGCGTTTTGCCACTTGCCAGCGCTTCCTACTAGTGGTCTCTGCGAGCTATGGAAAGAGAGCAATGCAAGGACTTCCTTCAACAGACACGAGCTTCCGACGACTTCCCTGTATAGGCTCCGTTCCCCTCGCTGAATCTTTGCTGAAATTAGCTGAAAAATATTGTTTGACTGAAATATTGTGAGAGAAAAATATTGTTCCAGCTTAAAAAAAAGAAGTCAAACAAGCCGGATATAAGATAAGCCAAACATGCAATATGAATCATAGACAAATCTCAAGTGCTCAAACTAACCGAACCCAAGTGCTAATATGAGAGAAACACATTAGCACAACACCTGCACTTGTTGATTTTGGAACTTGTTCTTGGCTGGGATGGATAGCCCTCGAAACAAGCTTTCCAGAAAAGTCCAAGATCACTGAAAATGGAGTTTAGAGTAAAAAGTTATGGCATTTTCAGTGATGTGACATGTGTTGTTTCTAGGAGTTGCGGCAGTGCCGTGAATTTTCGCAGCAGTGCCACGCCGCGGTAGTGCCGTACCTGTATAGGTCATAACGGCTAGTTTTTGAACTGCAACGGCTAGCTTGTGTGGGGTGGCTATAAATACCCATCCCACGCGCTCCTGGTGTAGCTGTTGATGCTCTAACCATTCCAAACCCTTCCCAAACCATTTGTGAGCTCTCTCTAACCTATCTCTTTGTGAGACTGAGTGATTGATTAAGTATTAGAGAGCAATTAAGAGCAAGCCAATTCTTGAGCACTTATCGGGCTTAGTCAATCTTCATTGCGCATTTATTACTCTTGGAGGTGAAGCCTTCTAGACGGCTAGGCGTCATCCGACAAGCTCCGTGCTGGTGGTAAGCCACGGGACAATTTGTTAATCACCCTATTGATCTAGTGAAAACGCCTCATCTCAAGAGTTCACTCTTTTAACTTGAGAACGAGGATACGGGTTGCAAAGCCTAAGTCTTAGTGGCTTCCTCAATAACGTGGACATAGGCAAGCCTTGGTGGCGAGCTGAACTACGTGATAAATCTTGTGTCTTGTCTCCTTTATGTTTTGAATTGCATTATCCGTGTTCCACTCGATCTACTTGGTTGTGCATGTTTATGAGTACAGGTACTTAGTGGACTTGCCACTGGACATCTCCATGCACATCTCTAAGTTTGGGTTCTAGGCGTAGCTGCTGTTGAAGTTCTCTGCGCAGGCGCGGCAGTGCTGCATTCTCAGCGAGGCAGTGCTGCAGTGCGGCAGTGCGGCAGTGCCGCGCGATGAAGCAGCAGTGACATGCACTCTACTAATCCGCTGCAAGTTTTATTTGTTGTTAATTTTCAGAAGCGTCTATTCACCCCCCTCTAGGCGACATCAAAGTTCTTTCAGGTCAGGGGCGACCTACGGGCGCAGAGACGGGGTGAAGTGCGTGCATGAGGTGGGACGAAGGCGGACGGGTCGGGGCGAAGGCGAACGAGGGCGGGCTGCGTGGGCGTCCGGACACGCGTTTTGGCGCTAGCCACGCCCTAAGTATTAGTGTTTTTTTATATATTTAGTCCAAGATGAGATAGTTTGAATCCTCGAAATACGAGATAAAAACTTATTTTAGAGGGAGAGGAGTATCTAAAGTCAACCTAATTACCTAGCGGTTATTTATCTATATGATAGAACTATCTGACAATTCATTATCACTAGTATAAATGTTACATGCAAGTATGCAACACGCAAAAATCATGAATATATAGGTAAGTACTAGTTGAACTACGATTTACATTGCATAGAGCAATAATAGAACTGACAATCTGGCAATATACTATTAATACCACATAGGCTTGTTTGTTTTTATTGGGAATGAAGCAAAATTGTACATCAAAGAAGGATAACTGGCTGCTCTTTATTATCCATGTTTAGCCAAAGCGACTATGGAAACGATCCAAAGACGTTTGACGCATGTTTAACCCGTAAGGTCTATGCACGCTTGATTGGACAACATGTCTCACAATATGTATGAACAATGAACTTGTGAGGACCCCAAGATATGAGTTGACTCCTTTCTCTCTCCTTCGTGAGTCGCCTTTTCGGTAGTTGCATCGATTTATTGAGAAGGCCTTAAGGTATACGGGTCTGTTAGATTTATGTCCAAATTCTGCCACTACTCGCCACAGCTAAGATTAGCCTTTGTTTGCTTTGCGGCCGAACCTGCCACAATATGTGGCGTGCTGCAATCACCAGGGTGCTGCAATCACCAAGGTAGACGCGCCATGTTTTCCCTCTCTTCTTGTCGCCAAAAGTTGGGCATAGCTTTTGCTCGCCGTACATGCAGCGTCCCATGACATTGGGTGTGGTCAGTTCTGGTCGAGAACCACGCGCCCTACATTCACCAAATACGAGGAATAATATTTATTTTTTTAAAATGAATACTAATACTTTTTTAGCAGTTAAAACACAATACAATTTTATTATAATGCCAAAATAAAATATTTTAAGTTTATCAAATTTATTAAAAAATTCTAACATAAAATAAGTGTCTTTAGAATATTTATCTTATTATAAATTTTGATATTGATCTTTTATAAACTTAATCAAACTTTATAGGAGTACAATTTAATTAAAAACATAATTAGATTTGCATATTTTCATCCTGTTCGCTTGAACCGTTTATCAGTGTTTTTTTCTTATCACAAATCAGCATGAGCCGACTTATCAGCCGCAGAAACCATCAGCCACAGCTCCTTTGACGATGCAGTAAGTTTCTTTCTATACAGTTTACAAAATTGCGACTATTATCTGTTGCTGTTGGCAAGCTAAGCAATGAAGGGGTGGCAAGCTAAACAATGAAGGGAGGAGGCGGTCTATTATCTGTTGGATTTCAGTTCCTCCTTCCTCTCTCGCACACAACAACCTCCTCTTCTCCTCCTCTGCTGCCTGCTCCCTGCCTCCCTGTCAAGCTAGCAGTACAGCTATCAGTGCAAATTCAACCTGCCACAGTTCTCCTCGCTTCCGCAGCTCTCCTGCACAGAGATTCGCTGCTCCTCTTGTCGGCAGGCTCGATTCCTGGTTGCATTCCGCAGCAGCACATCGATCTGCTCCCCCGCCAGTCGCCAGATTCGATTGATGTGGTGTGCTCTTGGAGCCAGGGGCTGTAATTTGGCACCAGCTTCCCGTGCTCCCATCCCCGACTTTGATGAGGCTCTCCCATTGTGAGAGCCACTGCGCCGGCCCCTTCCGCTTCATCCCCTGCCTCCCCCAATCCAAAGATGCGAGCCGCGACGCTGCCTCTCCGCCGGCGCCGCGCCCGGCAGCCGTCGCAGAGGAGGAGCCGCCTCCGGTTCAGAAGATAGAGGTGCCGGTAGCCGCCGGAAAGGACGACGACGCTGAGAAGCGCGAGGATGGCGAGAAACCGGCGGCGCCGGCGCCGGGTAAGAGTTGCCTGAAGAAAACCAGCTGCGGCGATGACGAGTGTGCCGACAAAGGCAATGTAAAGTGGCTGGATTTGCTCGGGAAAGATCTGACAGAGATTAAGGAGTACGAGCCAAGGTATATCTCATCTTTCTCCATGAACTTGCCGCAGCTGTCCATGAATTTGGAATCTTGGTTTAGCGTAGCATCCGCTTGATGGTTGAATTGCTATCATGCGCTGCTGATGTTCTGTTGCACATACATTTAGATCAAACTAGATGAGTTTTCTACATGCTTGGATTTCAGCGAGCTAATTTTCTGCTAGACACGGTTCTTATTAAATTAGTTTGTGTTGTGTTGTGTGAAACCATGCTTATATGCCAGCCAGATAGGATCAAAGATATTTCCATTTGTTTTGGTCCGATGATGGCTGCCATTGTCTTGCTATTCTAGGGATAGAACAAGTCTACTTGTACTAAACAACTTGGGAAACTTGGTCGTAGTGTTTCCGTCAAACATTTAGCCATGTAGGAGTAGGTGTACAAACCCAATAATTAAGGAGACAATATTTTTGGGCGGCACTGCATTTATATGTGCATGATTGTACACTTGTAGCAGAGATTAAGTCTGCATTTTTTGTTCAGATGACCATTCCAATTCTGTACATAAATCACAATTGTGGATTTATTGTTGTATGAGTGTTTATTACAGAATCTTTTAGCTATATGCTCACATTTTTTATATTCTATCAGCTTCATATTTGTATATATACTAGCAAAATTACATTGAAGCAATCTGAGTGCATGGTTTCATCTGAGCATACTTGATTTCTCAATTTTACTGCATAATTTCATACTTCTGTCAGTCAGTTATTTTTTGTTCTGCATTTCTACTTTGAAAGCATTGGAGTAACTCGCAGGTTAGATGCACAAACTGGGATTGGTGTGGTTTTTTGACATGGGTTTCTAGTTAGGACTAAGAGTGGCCATATAAAAATGCAGAAAGATAAATAATGACAGGAGAAGGGCAGCCCTGGTGCAGTGGTGAGAGCTGTCTCACTGAGTCACCAGGTCGTGGGTTCGAAGCAGCCTCTCCACAGATTTGCGGAGGGAAGGCTTGCCTTGGTTTTTCTCCCCAGACCCCACTCATGTGGAAGCCTCCGGCACTGGCTTTGCCCTTTTTTATATAAATAATGAATGGCCGATAATTTTTTTTCAATCAAACACTTATTATTGGTCATCACCGCTTTCCAGTAAGAAAATCCCTATCCGCCAATCACCATGCTATTTGACTTCACCTTAAAGACTTGACTGCTCTGTAAAAGTTATCGAAGTGACAAATGTAGAGGATCAACATCAGTGACAAATGTAGACTTGACTGCTCTGTCTCACTGAGTCACCAGGTCGTGGGTTCGAAGCAGCCTCTCCACAGATTTGCGGAGGGAAGGCTTGCCTTGGTTTTTCTCCCCAGACCCCACTCATGTGGAAGCCTCCGGCACTGGCTTTGCCCTTTTTTATATAAATAATGAATGGCCGATAATTTTTTTTCAATCAAACACTTATTATTGGTCATCACCGCTTTCCAGTAAGAAAATCCCTATCCGCCAATCACCATGCTATTTGACTTCACCTTAAAGACTTGACTGCTCTGTAAAAGTTATCGAAGTGACAAATGTAGAGGATCAACATCAGTGCCAAATGTAGGGGGTGTTTGGTTCCACGGACTAAATTTTAGTTCCTGTCGTATCGGATGTTTGACACTAATTTAGAGTATTAAATATAGACTAATTACAAAACTAACTGTACAGATTGAGACTAATTTGCAAGATAAATGATTTGGCAATGTGGTGCTACCGTAAATATGTGCTAATGATGGATTAATTAGGATTAATAGATTCATCTCGTAAATTAGTCTCCGTTTGGGTAATTAGTTTTATAATTAACTCATGTTGAGTCCTTTAATTAGCATCTGAACGTTCTATGTCACGCGGACTCAACTTTAGTCTCGGACCAAACACCCCCGTAGAGGATCAACGTCGCTTTCATAGAAGGGTACACTAATACAGTATATGTCATGTTGCTATTCAACAGTTCTATCTTGAATGCAGCAATCAAAATCAAACAACAGAGGGACACTGCTTTCCTTCTTTTTAGCGCAGGGTATATCATGTGCACATCACTCTCAAATAACGTCTCCATACTCTAGAGACGCGAGACGCTTCTGTTCATGTTATGTCACATTTGGATGGATTAGCTTGACTGACTTGGCAGAACGCTGAACCTTTCCTGCTGGAGCCTTGCTGGTTTGCTAATCTCACACTGTGCCTCTTGTGATTCGATACAGCGAATGTGGAGACTTGCTTGACGACGGAGACGGCATCTCGACATGTGTTTGCGTTATCCAATGAGTCAAGAAGAATCCCGCTAATTCTGTTGAGGGGGAAAAAAAGGTGGTTTGCATCGACCATGATGTGTTCTTTCCGGTGGAGGGCCACTGGGCCAGGGTGTCTTGTTGTTACCTCCACGAGCTCCACCGAAGATGCCAGTGTGTAAACCAGTCAGTCTCATCAGTACATGCCACTATAGATGCTTCGTAGCCTAGCCGTAGGTTTGTATCAGTTTGTCAGGTCTGTGTGCAGCTGGTTTTCAGAGTGGTGCATTGGTTACTGGTTAGTGCAGACAGGATGTTATCTTTTGTAAAGCTTTTATACTACTAGGAAAAAAATTAGCTTAGTTCAATCGCATCTCGAGGTATAAATTGGAAATACAGCATCTTGTGTGAAGAACTGAAGAACACCGTGTGGTAATTTCCAGCTTGCTGATCTGGAACTGCATTGGGCAGAATGGGCTCAAAGATAGGCCTGATCTGTATTGGGCCGTAGAGCTATCGGGTTTCATACGTTGCGCAGGATATGGCCGGGCCTTTTTCTGAGGGTGGAGAGAGAGGGAGACGTTGGCGCGGCGCGGCGAGACTGCTGAGCCCGAGGAAACGGGAGGAGAGGAGAGAAGCAAAACGAAGCTCGCAAAGTCGCAAGTCGCAACCACGACGGAGGGATGGCCTTCAGCGTCCTGCTCTCCCCGCCGCCCCTTCCGTTCCCGAGCGCCACCGCCACCGCCACGGCCGCCTCGTACCTAATTTTCGCCGGCCACGATCGCCGCCGCCGCCGCCGCCGCCCGCTGGAGCACGGGTGTCGCTGCGGCCGCCCGCCGGAGACGGCGCTCGGCAGCAGCTCAGGCCGACGCGGCTCGTACGGCGACGAGCAGGCGGCTCCAGGACCCCTCGGCCTTGACGGCAGCAGCACGTCCTCCTCGAACCGTCGGACGGGTGAGCAGCGCAGGCTTAGTTATATCGTAATTGTAAGGCAATTCGTGTGTGTAGTAACTGGTAAAGGAGCCGCGGATAAGAAAATTTTGGAGTGGGGGTTTGCATTGTGCTCGGAGAGAGAGAGAGGGCGAAACATGCGGTTGTCTCAGATGTCAGAAAGCAAGCACAGTGGAGTGCTATGACTGAATTTTCCGCAGCTAACTTCTGGAAAACTTGGTAAATTTGTTTGGGGAAGCATCGAGACCTCTTGTTTTCGTTTATGCAGTTGCAGGACTTTCTTATAGTGTGACCGGTCATCCAGAAAACATTCGGGAGACATTTCTCTACTTTGCTTGCATAGTTGTAGCACCAAGCCACCAACCTTTTTCAGTCAGTGTTCATTTTCAGAAACTTCTCACTAGATAAGATAGTTGGCACTTGTCACGTGCCTTGTAGATAACACAATTCAGAAATCCTAGCATAATGATAATCACAGAATAGTGACACGTAACATTTGGCTAGTTTTTTTCTTTCCTGTTTTGCTCCTTAAAGTAAGCTACCTGTAATGTTTGGATGTCAAGTAGGTTGTGCTTTCATTTTTCATCACGTTATCTATTTTAGGAAGTGCAAAACCAAGATATCAAGTAACTTTGAAAGAAGAGGACACACAAAATGCAGACCATGAGGGGTGGCAAAAGTGGCAATATAGTACAGATGGCCTTTCTAAGAGCATGTCCAAGTCAAGATACTTCAAAGTATTTGGGGTTGATTTGTCCCCTGACAATGTGGCTGTTGGTATTGTTTATTTTGTGCAAGGAGTTTTAGGCCTTTCCAGGCTTGCTGTCAGCTTCTACTTAAAAGATGATCTTCATCTTGAGCCAGCAGAGGTATGGTGGTTAAAGTCCTCCGTTTGCTTCATCCAGATACTAGTCCATTTCAGCTTTCAATCTCCAGGCATGTCTGCCTTTGTTTCGCTGGAGCATAAGCAGTACAAGACATCAAGTGCATTCCCTTAGAACTCTTGTTGTGTGAAAAAAGTGTAACAAGTCTCGGTACAGAGATTAACTTGGTTTGTGTTTTCTAGACTGCAGTTATATCTGGGTTCTCAGCCTTGCCGTGGTTGGTCAAGCCCCTCTATGGCTTCATCAGGTTTCACCAAAATACCGAACATCCTTCCTACCATCCCTTTCTTTCTGTATATAATATGCACTTAATTGCAATGTTGTACTCTTGCTATTTCCCTATACAGTGATTCCATCCCTCTCTTTGGATATCGAAGAAGGTCATACCTATTTCTATCAGGCATCCTTGGAGCACTTTCATGGAGTTTGATGGCGACTATTGTGGATGATAAATACAGTGCAGCACTCTCTATTGTTCTTGGATCGCTTGCAGTTGCCGTCTCTGATGTTGTAAGTCGGAAAATGCTTGCTTAGAACATTTCGGTTCAATTTCTGGATTGTACCTAACATTTTCTTTATGCTTTGTTCGTTCCATGGAGCTACACTGCAGAGACAGCATATAGGCTGAGAACAGGAGCATTTATGCAACCATGATGTTCTAATTATGTTCTAGTTTTTAAACCTTTTTTTTAATAAACCGTACTGGACAGTGCAAGTTTCCATTAATAAAGCAGGGGAAAATACAACATTATCCCTAGGAAGCTATAATCAGGAAAAATAAAAGAAAGCTAAAAAATTACAACACGCTGCTGGTTGGTCAACCCCACCACGTCATACATGCCATTATCAGATATTCATCATTCATTCCCTTATTATCTTGTTAAAACAACTCAACTCTATATGAGTGTAATGTGTGCAACTAATATCTATAATTTATCTAAAACATCAAAAGTTTTGCAAGCGTGCCTTCTGAATTCATATATGTGTTCAGCACATTTGAAGACGCAAATATCCGAACTTCTGGTTTGTTTTCAAAATGTAACTGAAAAAACAATTCAGGTGGTTGATTCTATGGTGGTTGAGAGAGCTCGAGGTGAATCACAGAGTACATCTGGATCTCTCCAGTCATTATGTTGGGGATCCTCAGCTTTTGGAGGAGTTCTGAGTGCATACTTCAGTGGTTCTCTAGTGGATACTTATGGTGTAAGGTTGTGCTGCTAATAGACCTGATAACAGCTGATGAAGCTTCTTGTTGTGTTTACAGTTCACTGATCAGGTGTTCCCATGAATGCAGATTTGTCTTTGGTGTTACTGCACTTTTGCCACTGATGACATCTACTGTTGCAATTCTTGTAAATGAAGAACGCTTACCTTTGGGGGAATGTTCAGTCTCACTTTCAGTTTCAGGTTCAAAATTAATTGAGAGCTCTAAGCAGCGCATCATGCAGATTTGGAATTCAGTAAAGCAGCCCAGCATACTCCTACCGACCTTGTTCATATTCCTTTGGCAAGCAACACCGCAATCAGACTCTGCCATGTTTTTCTTCATGTATGTTCACAAACTCATTTTATAGCTTAATAGCTCTGGACTGTTGTGTTAAATTCATTTGTGAAATCTGTAAAGTCTAATAACAGTTTTTTGAGTATTCAAAACGTGACAGAAGAAAATTCGAATTCTTGCTTAGAGCAATTAATTCTGAACCTGAAACTGCTGGTGCTGGATAAGTTTGAATCGTTGCTGATAACTGCTGGTGCTGGATCTGCATCTAGCTCGTACTGATCTTGGATATCCGAAATTTGAACAGAAATGATTTTTTCCCATGTTAAAATTCCTGAATCTAGTGCTGGATCTGTATCTAGCTTGTGTTGATCTTGGATTGCAGTAATTTGAACAGAAATTATTTCCTTCCATGCTAAAATTCCTGACTCTAGTGTTGGGGTTCTAAGCTGATTTACCGGTACCAGCATTAGTAATCAATTGAAATTCTATGAGGTATGGGCTATATAGATTATGGTTTACTGCATAGCAAAATCTGAATGTAATTAGATTGTTGCATGCTTCTTGGTAATGTGGATAAAGTATCATATTCATCACATTTCACTCTATAGTAATATCTCTGTAATGAATTAATATGCTATAAGCTCAAATTTCTTTGTGTTAATTAAGGCCCTGTTTGGTTGGGCTTTTGGCTTTGGCTTTTGGCCCCAAAAGCCAAAAGCCCAACCAAAGGGGCTGTTTTTGGAGGGTGCTTTTTCAGAAGCAGCTGCTTTTCCGTAGTTCATTTTTGAAAGCTGGGTTGACCCTGCTTTTGGCTTTTGGCTTTCTGCTTTTTGAAATTGGTGGAATAAAAAGCTCTTCCATAGTTGTTTCAAGAGATATAAAGATAAAAAGTATATTTTATACTTGTTTAACCAAACAGCTTTCAGCTTTTCTACAGCTCACAGCCCACAGCAGCTTTTCCACAGCTCACAGCCCACAGCAGCTTTTTCCCACAGCCACAGCTCAACCAAACAGGGCCTAAGTACATTGCTTCGTATTGCATCTAGATAGAAGCTTAAATACTCTAGGTACATAAAGGCAGAACTTGGCCATAAAATTGGTATTGCTCTGGTATGTAAATTAGAAATCTCTGTATTGACATCTCTTTGAAATGGCTGAATCTTCATATGCTTATCTTCTGGTGCATTTCAGCACAAATAAGGTCGGATTTACTCCAGAATTTCTAGGACGTGTTACGCTTGTTACATCTGTCGCATCCTTACTGGGTATCGGAGTGTATAATTCATTTTTGAAGGAAGTCCCATTGAGGAAAATATTTCTGGTGACAACAGTTTTAGGTTCTGCTCTTGGAATGACACAGGTCCTCTTCTGTGCTTACTTGTTCTAGTGTTGTTCCTGCAATCTATGTTGTCAAACCAAGTTTACTTGCGTATTTTTCAGGTTCTTCTTGTCACTGGGCTCAACCGGAAGCTTGGCATAAGCGACGAATGGTTCTCCATTGGGGATTCTTTGATTATCACAGTCCTTGGTCAGGTATGAAACATTTTTGCATCAACTACACGATTCAAGAACTAACCAGGAAGACATCTGGACCTGCTACGTGCTTTTGACACCTTACATAAACTTGTGTTGTAGGCTTCCTTTATGCCTGTCCTGGTCTTAGCTGCAAAGTTGTGCCCTCCGGGACTGGAAGCAACTTTATTTGCCACTTTGATGTCCATTTCTAACGCCGGAGGTGTTGCTGGCGGTCTGGTGGGCGCGGGTCTAACGCAATTACTGGGGGTCAGCAGAGACAACTTCGAAAACCTTACTCTGCTGATCGCGGTGTGCAATCTCAGTTCCCTGCTACCTCTGCCTCTTCTGGGTCTCCTGCCTGATGAATCCCCTAATGCAAATGGTGCACAAACAAAAAATGATTGATGATCCTATATCTCCACGCACGCGTCTTTACAAGACGAAAGGGCATAGACTCATCGGCAGAAATGGACATCAGATTGCTTTTGACTTTCGCAGTGCAACTGATGACGTAATAAGAACATTCAAGTTGGCTGCTCTCCTGAAATTTGTGTGCGCCACACCATCACCATCTCTGGGAGCAACTATATATATGTTCGACCAGGAAAGTTTGGCTGGTCTCCTCGCTGAAATCTGCATGGCAAAAAGCAATCAGCTGTGCTCGTGAGCTCGTCTGCCTGCATTAGGAATTTAGGATCCATCTACGTGTGCAAATGAGCACTGAGATCTGAGGCTCGGCAGAATATAGGATTATTGGCTGTTATAGTTTACTAAATACGGAACGAATTAATCTGTTATTCTGGTCTGGTCCTTTGTCTAGCCACCAAAAACTTGTAACTCTGTAGTTTACAAACAAAGAAAGGTTTCTGAAGATGCCATTTCCTGCGCAGTATGGTAGAGTTTTTTTAGTCAAAACGGAGAGAGAACCATTGTGAGATAAGAGCTAAGCTGAAGATTTATTTGCGACAGCATGGGCCACGTCCCCACGTCCGTTGAGTGCTGTCTTGTCCATGGCGTTGGCACGGCTGATCCCGGCCTTGGGTGCCCCGCGAACTACTGGAGGATTTCAGCGAAGAGCTGAGGGAAGGAACAATATTTTTCTCTCACAGCAAATCAGCGAATACTTTTCAGCAAAGCGAACATAGATTCATTTTATGGGGGACATGGGGTTCATTTTTCGTGATGTTTGGGGTATGGAGTTCAGCTAAACAAAGTAGAAATCAGGAAGACTTTCCCAATCCACAACAACAAACCACTAGTTCACCAATGTGAATAACTGAATATATCATGTTTGCATCCCAGAAAAGAAAAGAGATCATATTCGTTGTCCTATTTATCACACTTGTTAAACTCGAGAGGAAGAACATGCTCTTTTCAGTGGAGGACCCAACTTGGGCAAACCTTCAATGAAAAAATCAGAATGCTTCCTCCCTCCGACACATAAGTTTTATTCACCTTGCTCCGCTGAAGACAGATCTGCCCCCAACTTTCATGAGATACAGCAGGGCAGGTGAGCCAGCCTTCGCACGGGTCTAGGGAGATTATTAGCACAAAACAGTTTCAGCTATCCCACTAACAGCTTTACAACAGCAGTGGATGCCCATACTATGTCCGCAACTAAACAAGGATGTGTCTAAATCCCCTGTCCTAAAATTTAGCCAACTCCTTTCCAAGTAATACAACAAACAATTCAACAACGGAATATAAATTGAGGGGGGATACATGGAAACCCTCTGCTGCTATCACCAAGAGCCTGCATTCTCCCCTGGTAGCAGGATGCCCACGCACATTAAACTTGGCGTGTGGATTTCCAGCAACTCAGCAACCCAGTTACGCTGCAGGTTCTTCCTGTTTACCTGACTCTAGCAAACCATTGCCATTAGTAGCTTGAGTTTTCACATGGTATACCTTGGTAGTAGCCTGCTGTCTCTTATCCTGTTGCAATCTTGGGTCATCCTGCTTAGGCTGTCTATCCGGAGCTGTCCTTGGATCGTGTTTTGCAGGTACACCAATGTGGCCTCCACTTGGTTGCTTCCCAATCCAGTTACTGGGAGGTAATGGTGGTGGAACCCCATTTACTGATCTCTGCTGCGGGAATCCCCCAGTTTGGAAAGGTCGCTGAGGTATAAAACTGATGTTCTGCATAGGCCGCTGGGATGGGGGTCCGGCAAAGTGATTAGGATGTGGTTGATTGGTCCAGTATCCGGAATTCTGCATCCTATTATTTTGACGAGGCCTTGGCCCTTCTTGGATTGTCAATTTTGACATTGATGCACGGATACCAGCATCATGACTTCGGGAGTTTGGCCGTTCTAGTATCCGCATTGGCTGTTTGTTAGCTTGAGAATCACCAAAGAACTGAGGGTGAGGGTTTGGAACACTTCTAGACATGTGTGCATGGTATGGATTATCCACAAAACCCCTCTCATACCCCAATGGTCCAGCAGGCCTTGGTCTGTTTCCAGGGCCATAGGGTGCACCCCTGTATGGCATATCAAGTAAGCCAGCAGCATTGCCAGATTTGATCTGGAGGGAGTTTTTCACCAGACGGTGTGCAGCTTCTCCTAAGAGAGAAAGGGCTCCAGAAACCTGAGGCCTGTAAATGGAAAGAAATCGTGATGGTGCAAACAGATTACCAGATTGGTCAGGCTACAAAAACTAGGTGAAAAGCTAGTAAGGATGAAGTAAAAGTGTGTTGATCTAAATTCGCAAAACAGTGCACAGCTTATATAGTATTTCAGATAAAGTGGATACCGCTCCTATAGTTCCTGAATACTCTCTAGTGGAAGTGGAAGTACTCTGCAAAAGCATTATGACATATCAATCATACCTTTCTCTTGCTTGTCGACGACTATTATCTTCATGCCACAACACAGGAAAGGGTTTGAAATCACTAGGTTTCAGTATCTACAAAATGAAACACTTGTTGGGTCATGAATTTATCTTTAAACTGCTTATAGCAAACCAACATCGAAATCGATAAAAACAAAATACCACCATATACTTCAATTGATAATGATAACATGTACTTGTATAAAGGTCATAACACTGCAAACATGGATACTACGAGAGCCAGGTAATTAAAAGATAGCATCATCACAAAAGAAAATATTATGCTTCTGTTCAGAGGCGGAGCTTTGTTGTGGCCAAAGGTGGCCATGGCCCCCTCTGCCATTAGAAATTACCTTAAGTGAACACTAAACTTTACGATTTCTGAAAACAAGCGATCTGTTTTTCTCTCCTGGGTTGATTCATGTGTAGTGGTTCTTTGTTTTTCTTCTTGTTCTAGCCTCACTCGGGCGTAGCTGAAGTGTTTTCCTTTCGTTTTGTACAGTGGTTGTTTTTGTGATTTACTAAATCTAACAGTGGGGGAGCCCTGCTGTTTTCTTGGTTAAAAAAAACACTAAACTTCACACCTTACATGCTTGGTAACAAAAACACTAAATAGAGTAAGTTTTGGGCTTAGTTTCTAAACTTGCCCACCTCTGGATTTTTTGTCAAGCCCTGCTACTGCTTCTGTTGTTCCGCATTATAGGTTATTGTGCATTTGTGCTTGGATTGCTATTAAAAATTTGTCAAAGAAGTTCAGTTGGCCACATCAATATATAATCATTAACATTCTTCACATAAGTGGGCAAAATAATGTTATACACAAAAGTGTCCATTTGTGTCTTGCAACCGTGAAATGTTAAAAAGAAACAGATGAGTAAACATTAAAAAGATACTAAACAACGCTTCACCTAATAATACTTTCACTTATGAGCCAGCGATTACTCTTTCCCAAAATGGAAAGAAGATATCCTTTTTGTATTGGTGATGTCAAAAAGGCTGAACCATACATACATAAGGGACTTTATTCTTTTTAAAAAAAAGAAAAAATATATTATGTTCACACTTTCATCCCTCCAAGAATAATATGCACCAAAATGCACATTGGGTGCAGGGCTATAAAAATACCTTTCAGAGGTATGATGACCCCCACTGGAGGCTCTGGGATGTGTTTGTGATACTGGGGATTAAGATAGGTAGCATTCCTGAAAAATAATAGAAAAATAAATTTATATATATAGTGCTAGTAGATTTAAAGGGTGGATTTTAGTTTACAATATGCCTTTACACGATAAGATGCTTACAAAACTCTGTTCTGAGCAATGCCATTGAACCCCCTAACTGGAGAAGTTACAGTGACGCTATACCAGTTCCTTTCAGATAAACATAGGAATCCATTCATTCCACCACTGCATACAGCAACACAGTAAACAAATGCCGAGCGCAAAATAATCCAAATCAATGTATCTAGCATTTCTACCAACCTAACAGCAGGCTGAATGGGAATAACATAAGGGTCTGTTCTTGATAGATGGTAGTAGTTCTGATACAGGAACATAATCTGAGCGGTCAATGGATGAGTATCTCTAACATAAATTATGTCAAACATAGTCCTGTTCCTGAATTTCTCTTCTTCCTGTGAAAGACAGCAAAATAAAGCTCAGCCAAAATGAAAGTAACAAGCCCAGATGGTTAAAAAATAAGGATTGTAACATAAACATACTGTCGGATACCGTGAGAAGGGGTACCCCAAGCAAAATCCAAAAAACGACTGCTTAGATTTCGTAAAGACCGAAACCAGCTAAACGCTGCTGGCCTCGGCCGATTCTCCGACTCGCCCGAGGCCCCATCACCGCGGGCCTCGGCCGATTCTCCGACTCGCCCGAGGCCCCATCACCGCGGGCCTCGGCCGATTCTCCGACTCGCCCGAGGCCTCATCACTGCTGGCCTCGGCCGATTCTCGACTCGCCCGAGGCCTCATCACCATGGACCTCGGCCGATTCTCCGATTCGCCTGAGGGCCCCCTCACCGCGGGCCTCGGTCGATTCCCGCTAGAGGCCTCGGCCGAGGCCACCGACCCTCCGTCTCGCGCAAGGCGGGGCTCGGAAGACGCCGCTACCTCTTCCTTCTCCCGTCCTTCGGCAAACGTCAGTGTCGCGTCAACTCACCAAGCTGCGCCTCGACAACATACCGCATGCCCAGACAAGATAAATGAGAATGGCCGATGGGGGGAGAGAGACAGGATCGCATGAGGGCTACCCGCAACAGACTAACTAACCCGTGCACGTGGTTGACGCCCATGCCTCATCTTTGGCCGCCAACTCTCTGCTCCAAGGACAACGCGACAGATGGGAGCCACGTCTGAGCCATCGTGGCCTCGGAATCGCACCAGAGCAATAATTCCCTCCAAGGCCTCGGCAGCTCGCTCCGAGGGCTCGGCGGCCGAGGACCCATGTCCGCCAAAGCCCCGCGATGGCTTGGCCTCGGCACCTCTGAGCCACGGCCCCTCACGACGCGTCGTCACGCGATGGCTCGCAGACGTCCCCGGTGGCGGGGTTACCCGTCACTATGCTATCCACCGTACACATAGTTGACACCCATGCCTCATCAGGTCTTCGCCAACTCTGCTCCAAGGACAACGCGGCATGGGGAGCCACGTCTGGAGCTCTTGTGGCCTCGGAATCGATACCAGGCCAATAACCCCCCCAAGGCCTCGACGGTTTGCTTCACGGGCTCGGCAAACTGAGGGTCCATGACCACCGAGCCCCCCACGATGGCTCGGCCTCGGCATCTGCAGAGCATTTGCTCCCTCACGACGTCATTACACGGCGACCCGACGTCGCCCGCCATGTCCTCCATCATTTGGAGCCCCACGACGCGCAAGACCGAAGTCTCGACCAAACATGTCACTTCCGCGACGACAAGGACGGGCCACTCCATCGACCATACCACAACAATGGTGACTACGAGGCTCGGACACGCCACCCCATTTCTGAAGCGCTATGTAGCACCACATGCACGATCCCGGTCCTCCCTTAGAGTATAAAAGGAGGGATCGGGGCCATTTCTAGGGGAGGAAAGACGAACAAGCCGATGGCACTGCTGCTCATATCTTTGCTTGGGAACAACGCCTCAAGCAGCCCGCACCACCCTGGCCGAGAGACAGGGCTAGTTCCTCTCTCACCTAGCTTGTAACCCCCTACTACGAGCACTCGGTGCAAGGAATACAAGATCGATCTCTGATGGGACGTAGGGCCTCGATTACTCGAACCAAGATAAACCTTGTGTCTCTTTGCGCCACCATCCGGGATTAGGGGCACAAAGCACAAATTCACTCGTTGGTTGAGGGACCCCGGTTCCAAAACACCGGCAGGTTGGCGCGCGCCAGTAGGGGGGCTGCGTGTCGACCGTCATCCTAGCAAGTTCCGGATGGCGAGACTACATACGACCATTGCGTCTCGGCACCATAGTTTGGTTGGGGAGCCTAGAGTTCATGTCTCTAGGGCATGAGTACGACATGGTGCTCCTCACCTCGAACCCCACCGTCCAACGATTTGAGTCGCGCCGGCGCCTCAGCGCAGAAGGCGCCCGGCGGGCGGCTCGCTCGCGCTCGCCGGCCAGCGACGCGAGCAAGGCCACCCCGACGCTACGCGAGCCCAGGGCGACACGCCTCTCCCCGCCGATGTCCTACGACCAGCTGTTGGTACGGGGTCCCTGGCTGGGGACCTGTCTGGCCTGAGCCTGAACGAAGGAAAGTCGCCGATGGCTTACGGCGATGCCCAGTCGTCTAACCCCGCTCCGCCACTCCCTGAAGAGCCGACCCCGGCGGGGCAGAACATGGAGAAGGCACCGTCCCCATACCCCTTTGGGTTGAGAAATGCCGCCGCCTCTTACGCCTACGCTTACGCTGCCATTCACAAGCACCCCTCGGAACGCCGCCAGCGCTTCGCTCTCGACTTGAGCACCCGCTCCGACTCCTCGGACGAGGACGAGGCATGGCCCAGGGTGGATTTCTCCGAACTTCACAACCCTGGGGATTTGCGCCAATTCTTGGCCGCAAGCGACTACTGCCTCGGCTACTCCGACTCCGACGATGGAGGGACTTACGATCCATCTCGTGAGTGCTTCCACGTCGGGCTCGGGATGCCCACAGGCGGGCGAAGGAACGAGAGGACGAGCAACCATTCCCGCCTCGCGAAGGGCGTGGCGACGCACACCACCACCGCGTCCCGAGGCCCGGCAGAAGACGGAACGAGAATCCCCGCGCATGGGCGTCGACGCCAGACTGGGAGCAGCTCCACGAGCTTCAAGCCAAGGTCGAACAAGATCGACTCTTACGCAGCGGCCGGGACACTCTCGGCGGGAGCGGCAAAGGGCGCTGGTGAGGGCGGAGGGCCCGAGGAGGGCCCGCGACGCCCACCACCGCATCAACGACAACGAGGGGGATGAGCCGCCCCAATCTTTAACCGCGCTAGCTGAATGTCGCAGCTGCCGCGATGCTAGTCCGAGCAATGCCGAACCCTCCACCACCGAGAGGGCGACGGGTCCGCGGAGAGCTCCGCGACCTCCTCGAGACCGCGGCAGGGCAAAGCAGGCGAAAGTTCCGCCTCCGCGCGGTGGAGGAGGCACTTGAGCAACCCACAGCACGACCTCGACAAGGGCGAGTGCCTCGACCCGTCCCGAAACCCGCTTCGCCGACGGCCAGTCAGCGGGCCCTCTCGGCGCAAGAACCGACTCGAGGACCAACACGAGGCTGTGGCGACCACGAAGAAGGCCGACAGCGACACGGCGCCCACGACGACGGAGCCGCCCGAGGCTACCACCCACACCGAGGCGGTCGCTACGACGGTGGTGAGGACCGCATCCTTCCACGAGTCGCCAGACCTCGGGTCTTCGCAGAGGCCATCCGCGTTGCTTCTTTTCCCGCCCGGTTCCGACGGTAAGCCAACCTCAAGAAATACAATGGCGAGACCAACCGGAACTCTGGCTCGCCGACATCACTGGCTCGCCCGACTAGGTGGCGCGGACAATGACACGCTCATCATCATAATCTCCCTTTGCTCTTTGTCGGACTCGGCGCGAGCTCGGCCGGAGCATCTCCTCCTCGCAAATCCACGATCGGGCGCGACTTGGTTAGGATCTTCGTCGGGAACTTCCGGGGCACATACGTGCATACCGGGAATTTCTGGGATCTTAAAAGTCGCCGCCGCGAAGCAGACGAGTCCCTCCGAGACTTCATCCGGCGCTTCTCCAAACAAAGGTAATCGAAGCTACCCAAGCGTCGGCGACTCGGAGATCGCCCGAGCTTTCTCTCCGGCACCACTTGTCGGGACTTGGTCCGAGTTAGGGACGCAACGCCCCGCGCTCTGCCGCGCTCCTCGACATCGCCACCGGCTTCGCTTTTGGGGGAAGAAGGCGCCGAGCCATCTTCCCCAACACCGATTCCAAGGGAAGCGGAGGAAGAGGCCCCGAGGCCTCAATTTCCCCACCTCCCTAAGAAAAGAAGAAAGGTCGCCCAGGAAGCGGGGAAGTTCTCGAGGCCGTCCATGTCGCCATGACGGATCGCGAGAATCCCGCGGCCCCAGCCCTGGGCTATTTGACGACACGTTGAAGAAGCCCCCGCCTTACCATCAAGGTCCGGTGAAGCACGCCCTCGAGGAGTGCACCATGCTCCGTCGCTACTACGCCCAGCTCGGGCCTCCCGGCACGACGACGCCAAGCGCGAAGGGCCCCGCCGGTCGGAACGAGGACAAGGACGACGGGTTCCCGAGGTACATAACGCTTTCATGATCTTTTGGCGGACCCTCGGCATGCCTCACGGCAAGCGCCAAATGAAAAGAAGGAACGCGGGAGGTTTTCTCGATCAAGGTGGCCACCCCCGGTACCTCGACCGGTCTCGGAGGCAATCACCTTTGATCGGGATGATCACCCGATTATGTTCCAAACCCCGGCAAGACTCGCTTGTCGTCGACCGATCGTCGGCAACACCCGACTTACCAAAGTACTCATGGGCGGAGGCGGTGGCCTCAACATCCTCTACGTCAAACACTGGAGCTCCCGGAGCTCGACCAATCACGGCCCGAGGCGGTTCCGCGCCCTTCCACGGCATCGATGCGGCCAGAAGCGCCGCGACCCCCGGCGCATCGACTCGACTTGCTCCATCCGGCACTCCCTCCAACTACCGCAGAAAGAGGTCCTCACCTTCGAGGTGGTTGACTTCAAGGGGCTTACCACGCCATCTTGGGGCGCCCGTGCTACGCCAAGTTCATGGCGATCCCCAATTACACCTACCTCAAGCTCAAGATGCCAGCCCCAAGCGGCATCATCACCGTCGAGTCTACGTGACGAACATGCATCTGATCGCGACGTCGAGTGCATCGAGTACGCCGAGGCCATCGCGGAGGCCGAGGCCCTCATCGCCGATCTCGACCAACTTGCTAACGAGGTTCCGACGCTTAAGCGGCGCGTCGGGACCTTCGAGCCCGCGGAGACGTCAAGCTCGTCCCGTCGATCCCACCGCCCCGACGGTAGGGGGATCAAGGTCAACGCCACCCTCGACAAAGCAAATAGGAGGCCGTGCTTCGCCGACTTTCTCCGTCTGACGTCGACATGTTCGCATGGAGCCCCTCGGACATG